TGTTGTCTTTTTGATAATAGCAATTCTGACAGGTAGGAATGATACCTCATTGTGATTTTGATCTGCATTTGCCTGAGGGTTAGTGATGTTGAGCAACTTCTCATGTGCCTGTTGGCCATCTGTATGTCTTCTTTGGAAAAATGTCAATCCTGGAACCCTGTCCGTTTTTTAATTGGGTTTTTTGTTTATTTGATATTGAGTTGTATGAGTTCTTTGTATATTTTGGATATTGACCCCTTGTTGGATATATTGTTTGCAAATATCTTCTCCCATTCAGTAGGTGATTTGCATTTTGGTGATAGTTTCCTTTGCTGTGCAATAGCTTTTTAGATTGATTAGGTCCCATTGGTTTATTTTTGCTTTGCTTCCCTTGCCTGAGGAGACATATGCAAAAAAAAATATTATTAAGACCAGTGTCAAAGAATGTACTGCCTGGGCTTCCCTGGTGGCGCAGTGGTTGAGAGTCCGCCTGCCGATGCAGGGGACACAGGTTTGTGCCCCGGTTCGGGAGGATCCCACATGCCGCGGAGCGGCTGGGCCCGTGAGCCATGGCCGCTGAGCCTGCGTGTCCGGAGGCTGTGCTCCGCAGCGGGAGAGGCCCCAACAGTGAGCGGCCCGCGTACTGCAAAAAAAAAAAAAATGTGCTGCCTATGTTTTCCTCTACAAGTTTTATTGTTTCAGGTCTTACATTTAAGTGTTTAATCCATTTTGAATTTCTTTTTTGTGCATGGTGTGAGAGAGTAGTCCATTTTGATTCTTTTGCATGTAAATGTCCAGTTTCCCAGCACCATTTATTGAAGAGGCTGTCTTTTCTCGGTTGTATATTCTTCCTCCTTTGTTGTAGATGAGTTGCCCATATAAATGTTGGTTTATTTCTGGGCTCTCTATTCTGTTCCATTGATCTATATGTCTGTTTTTTTGTTTGTTTTTTATTTATTTATTTCTGGCTGTGTTGGGTCTTCGTTGCTGCGCGCGGGCTTTCTCTGGTTGCGGTGAGCGGGGGCTACTCTTCGTTGCAGTGCCAGGGCTTCTCATTGCGGTGGCTTCTCTTGTTGCGGAGCATGGGCTCTAGACACATGGGCTTCAGTAGTTGTGGCTCGCGGGCTCTAGAGCACAGGCTCAGTAGTTGTGGTGCACGGGCTTAGTTGCTGTGTAGCATGTGGATCTTCCCGGACCAGGGCTCGAACCTGTGTCCCCTGCATTGGCAGGCGGATTCTTAACCACTGCGCCACCAGGGGAGTCCCTATATGTCTGTTTTTGTGCCAGTACTATACTGTTTTGATTACTGTAGATTTGTAGCATAGTTTGAAATCAGGGAGTGTTATACTTCAGCTTGTTGTTCTTAAGATTATTTTGGCTATTCTGGGTCTTTTGTGTTTCCATACAAGTTTTGGAATTATTCTTTTTCTATGGAAAATGCCATTGATATTTTGATAAGGATTGCATTGAATCTGTAGATTGCCTTGGGTAGTATGGTCATTTTAACAATATTCTTCCATCCCATTAACATTTCTTTTAAAGCTGGTTTCATGGTGCTGAACTCTTAGCTTTTGCTTGTCTGTAAAACTTTTGATCTCTCCTTCAAATCTAAATGAAAGCATTGTTAGATACAGTATTCTTGGTTGTAGGGGTTTTTTTTTCCCTTTTGTTGCTGTAAATATATCATCCACTCCCTTCTTTTCAGCCCACAGAGTAGTAATTTCCACTGCTCTTCCAATTCACTGATCCATCCTCTGTATCATCTAGCCTACTATTAATTTCTTGTAGTGTATTTTTATTTCAGTTGTTGTATGCTTTAGCTCTGTTTGATTCTACTTTATATCTTCTATTTGTTTAAAACTTCTCCCTCTGTTCATCCATTTTCCCAAGCATCTTTGTGATCATTACCTTAAACTCTTTATTGGGTAGATTGCTTATCTCCACTTCACCCAGTTCTTCTTCTGGGGTTTTATCTTGTTCCTTCATTTGGAATGTACTTCTCTGAGACCTCATTTTGTCTAATTCTGTTTTTATTTCTATATATTTGGTAGGTTGGTTACATTTCCTATTCTAGACAAGTGATCCTATGTAGAAAACTTCATATGGGTCCTAGCAGCACGCTCCCCTCTGGTCACTAGAGTCATATGCTTTAGAGGTGTCCCCTATGTGGGCTTTTTGGGTCTCTCTATTGTGGCAGGCTGACTACTGTGGGCATGCAAGTAGGCCTGGCTCTTTTGTGGGTAGGACAGTGGGTTGCCAGGCCCTGCCTTGTGTGAAGGCTGCCAGTCACTGGTAGGTGGGGCCAGACCCTGGTGCAGTGGAGCTCATGGCCAGGGGAGTCCAGGTCCTGGTGCCAGCCAATAGATGGCTGGGGCCTGGTCACCAGGCAACTGGCTATAGAGCCCCAGTGGGTCCTAGGGCTAGTGCTGACCCATTGGTGGGCAGAGCCAGGTCCTGGCATCTGTAGCTGCAAGGCCCTAGTGGTCCCAGTGTTGGTGTCAGCCCACTAGGGCTGGGCCAAGGCCCAGTAGGTTCCAGGGCTAGTGCCTGCTCACTGGTAGGCAGGGCCAAGTCCCAGGGCAGCTGGTGGGGCTATGTCCCTGCCCAGCTGGCTCTATGGCCTGATGCGTACAATTATTGGTGCTGACAGGTTGGTCAGGAGGGCTGGGTCCTGGTGTGGCTGGCTGTGTTGCCAGGGGAGTCCAGGGCCTGGTGCAGGCCAGCAGGTGGGGCAGGGCTGGGTCAGAAGGCGACTGGCTACAGAGCTGCAGGGGTCCTGGGGCTAATGCTGGCCCTCTGGTGGGGAGCTAAGTCCTGGGGTGGCTGGCTGCAGGGCTCAGAGTCCCAGAGCTAGTGTTAGCTTGCTGACGGATAGGGCCATTGGTGTTGGGTGGTCCCGGGGCTGGTGGTGGCCTCCTGGTGGGCAGGGTCGATTCTTGACAGGGCTGGTGATGGCCCACTGGTGAGTGTGGTCATATCCTGACATGGCTGGCTGAGGTGCCCAAGCTATCCTGGAGGTGATGTCAGCGTTCTATTGGGTGGGGATGTGTCCCAGTGGGTCCAGAGTGTAATGCTGACCCACTAGTGGGCGAAGCTGTGTCTCTTGCTGCAGGGCCTAGGGAGTCGCAGGGCTGGTGTCCACCCCACTGGGTAAAGAGGGTCCTATGACCACCTCTGGCAGCTTGGGGGTCCCTGGGCTAGTGTCAGCCCACTGGTAGGTGGGGCCAGGTCCCTGGCCTGGGGTATCCCAGAGGTGGTGAGGACTGGCTGGTGCATGAAGCTGGGTCCCAGCACTAATAAGCTAGAGGGAGGGTTTCAAAATGGCACGTACCAGCACCAGTGTCCTGACAGGGTGAGCTCCCTAAATTGGCTGCTGTCAGCATCTCTGTCCCCAGGGTGAGCTCCATTTTCCTCCTGCTCTTTGGAAGGCTCTCCAAGATCTGCAGGTGGGTCTGACGCATGCTGCTTTCGAGTTATGCTTTTGCCCTGGTCTTAGAGCTTGTGAAATTTTGTGTGCACCCTTTAAGAGTGGAGTTTATATTTCCCACAGTCCTCTGGCTCTCCTGAAAGTAAGCCCCACTGGCTTTCAAAACCAAAATGCTGCAGGCTCCCGGTGTAGACCCCCAGGCTGGAGAGCCCAGTGTGGGGCTTTGCTCCTTGGAGAAAACCTCTGTAATTGTAATTATCCTCCCATTTGTGGGTCTTGACTCTCCCACATCTCTGCCCCTTACTAGTTTCATTGTGGTTCCTTCCTTAGTGGTAGGAGATCCTAGTCTTCAGGTGAATTTCATGGATAGTTGCTCTGTAAATCGCTGCAATTTTGGTGTGCATGTGGAAGGAAGGAAGCTCAGGGTCTTCAATTCTGCCGCCCTGGTCACTTCTCAAGGCTCAGGAAAATTCTTAATGGTCATTATTGACTAGATTCTTTAATGTGATCAGAAGCCACACAGAATTTTTTAGACATGTGCCTGAATTTCAAGAGTGGTAAGAAGGAAGTGATTTGTGCTCCTCTATTTTGCATTACAGATGGGCTAGACAGATAATGGTTCAACCCACTTATCCTGCCCATGAAGTCTCATTCTCTAGTTCATTATTAAACATCAGAGGATGTTCAGTGTTGGTAATTATGTGGATGTTTGTATATTAATTAAAATTATTTTTACACCTAGAAGATTTCAAACTGCAGAAAATTTATAGCGAATAATGTAATGAACACTCATGCTCACTTTCGAATATGTCAGGTCTTAATTTTTTTCCAAATTTTTGTTTTCAGAAATCAAACATTATAGATACCATTGAAGCCACCTGTATATACTTCTTTGATTCCACTCCCTACCATCCTTTCCTAGGGATAACTGCTCTTCTGAAGCAAACGATTGTTTTCACTAATTGGTTGCTTTGTGTTTCTTTCTTGGTTTCTTTGTTTTTGCATTGTTTTATCACCAGCCCAATGAAAAGAACAGCACTGTCTGCCTCCCTAAGGAACTACTCAGTGTTAAGAAGAATATTCTTCCTCTCATGTTGAAACTCAGATTACAACATTTTTTAAAAATTGTGCTTTGGTCATTTGAAGGTCAGTGAAGGGACTTGAATGAAGGAAGCTTGTGGAATAGTGGAAGAAGATTTGTACTGATAGAAGCAGTCAAGAGACTTGAGCTTTTTACTGAGTCTGCTTATTAGTTGCAGGAGGATTTTTTAGGGGAGACGTTGAACTTGCCGGACATAATTTTTCACATCTATCAAATAAGGTGGTTGCTCTGCCTCTCCCACAGAGATATCATAAAGCTACAACTAGGTAAGGGAAGCGGAAGAGTTTTGTAAGGTGATGCAAGATAAAGTTCTAAATCGATACAAGGTGATGATATTTCTGATTGCTTTATATTTTGAAAGTGTAATTCCTTCTGATAAAATTGTGTCAATGTAGAGAACACAGAGTAATTAGTCTTTTTCATTTGTTTGTTTGTTACACTAGTAATGTTTTTAAGGTAACAGCCTTTTCCTGTTGCAATGTCTGTCTTTAGAGAAGTAGCTGACTTTCAGCTTTCTGTGGATTCTCTATTGGAAAACAACAATGACCATTCAAGACCAGATATTCAACTTCAAACCGTGAGACTGGCAGAGAAGGTACTTTAGCACTATTATCTCTTTTTGACATTATAATAAATGTAGTATTTCAAAGAAAAAACTACTCTGCAAGCTATCTCTGCAGGCTATCTCAGCCATAATAATGAATTTAATAGCGTTTTTTCCCAAGGCACCTTGAAAAGTATAATTTAAATTTATTTTAGCTGCATACTATAAGGTTAGGATGGTTTTTGAAATCAGGTATAAAACATTCCTCTTGAGCTGACATTATTCAAGTTATTGATTAACTACTTACAGGAAGACTGAAGTGTTAATTAAATTTACAGATTGAAGCTGGATGGACTTCTGAATTTAGGAGAGCAAGCTTGATAAATTAGAGCAGTGGGTTGCAGTTTTAAAAATAAGCTTCTGGGAAGATGAACGTTAAAATATGAGAAGAAATGATTAGATGTAAATAGAATCATGATTGCAGAGAAGAAGTGGTTAGATGATTTAACAAACCTCTTCCATTTCTAATTTCTCTGATGGGTTCCGTATCTAAAAGAGGAATTGAAAGGATTGTGGTGAATGACCACATCTAAATTGTTAGCATAATACCTTCAGAAAAGCAGGTTTGGGGGAAGTTTTTTTTTTTTAAATAAGGTTATTACATGTGACACAGAAGAGGGCATGGGCACACTGAAGAGTCCAAACAATGAAAGTCACTTTCATAGAAAAAAATGTTTAAAGAATGAATATGATAAAGGAGCTTTGGTAGCTAAGTAAATGTTTATTTGACCACAAAAATTACCCCAGATTTTTATCAGGAAGTATACCAGGAATAAAATTATCCTAATTACAAGATTTATTTCCTCCTTCTCCTGTGAGTTCTCAAAAATAAAGGCTAGTGGCTCCTCAGTGACAGCAGGAATTTCTTCATGCTTCATGGGTGTCTCGGGTGCTTTGAACATCTAGTTGGTTAAAAATGTAAAGCGTATCCATTGAAGACCGAGCATTTAAATTATTTACATTTTATGTGTGGGTGTGAGTTGTTCTAGCGGATGCCCTGACAGAATGTCACGTTCTGTCACTCTCATGCAAGGCGGATGAAATAAAAAGAATTCATTGCATGTCAAGGTACATAGGGTGGGGGTAAAGTGATGCTCCCTTTTTTCCACGTTAGAAAGAGAATTTGAAGTGAGAGAATGGGAAGGTGGAAGAGAGAGACTTCGAATACAGAGTAGCAGTCTAGCCCGGAAAAGAAGAAAACGTGTAAATGCAAATAGAATGACAGAACTGGGGAGATGGGCTAAAGCCGAGGTCCAGACACAATGACTGTGAGAGAGGACCCACCTGCTGCCCTTGGGAGCCAATCTGATAGGATCAGAGCTACAAAGCTCATTAAGCCTATTTCATAACATGCCTGTTTTACTTGATTTGTTATCTTTTCAGCTAAAATGTGACACAGTGGTGAGTGAAATCAGCACTGGTCCAGGGACTGTAAATTTCAAAATAAACAGAGAACTATTAACAAAGGTAAGGATGGGTTATGTTGCAGCTGTTGCACCTTCACTCATTCCCTCTACTTCAGCTACAGTGGTTTCCCTCCAGTTCTTAAAACTTACCGTGCCTCCTCTTGCCTTAGAATCTTTGCACATTCTGATCCCTCTGCCTGGAGTGCCACCCCAAGTTAAATCTGCTTATCCTACAGATCTTGAGGTTCCCTAGCAGTGCCTTTCTGACCCCTTCATTCATATACGCTCACAACACTGTATATGTGTCCTTTGCAAAACTTATTGTAGTTGCTATCTTACATCTTTTTTCTATAACTTTATTTTTTAATTAATTTTTTATTCTTTTTTTTTTTTTTTTTTTTTTTTCCTGGCTGTGCCGCGCAGCAAGCAGGATCTTAATTCCCTGACCAAGGATCAAACCTGTGCCCCCTGCAGTGGAAGTGCAGAACTCTAACCATAGACCGCCAGGGAATTCCCAGTTTGATTAATGCCTATTGCTCTTTAAACTCTAATTTCCATTAGGACTTATAGCATCTGTTTTTCTCACATCCCCAGTTCCTAGCACAGTGCCAGGCATGCAGTAGGTGCGAGATAACTATTGTTAAATGAATTAATGGACTCCATATTGAATACAAGAAAAGTACTGCTGGTTTCACTCTCTGGTAGCCTATAATCTGTTGGAAGCATAAGATTTATATAAGAGAAACCATAAGACAGTTCTTTTAATAAAACAATAAATTTTTTTTAAAAAGTGATTGATTCAATAAGCATAAGAAACATCAGATATGGTAAAATCTGGATGACCTGAAGGAGTTGGGGAAACCTCATAGAGGAGTTGGGTCTCCCTTGAGTGAGCCCATGGAGGACAAGTAATCCTGGATATGAGACCATTTGTTCAGTTTTATCTCAATTGAACTTTAAAATTTATCATAATGCATGGTTTGGTCTATTAATTTAAAAAAAGAAATACACACCAGTGTTGGATTGGTCAGACTTAGTATATGCTATGGTCTTGAATTGAAAATAACTGTAAAACCAAAATTTCTAATAATATAGTTTCTTCCCAAGGTTACATAGTTTACAGACATTTACCCATCAGCCCTATAATTCTTCTGAAGGAGAGTTAGTATTTCATGCTTGTCTCTAGATCTTTGAACTCTTTTATCTTTTTTTCACTGTTAGTTCAAGACAAACTTGTTAAACCAAAATCCGTCACAAGGACAAGAAAAATTTGTTATGAGCTTTTTAAAAAGCGTCTACAACTTGTTGGGCTCTTGATAACATTTCGTGTCAACTTAGCAAACCAGTGAATCTAATGTACCATTTTTAAATAAGTGACTCTTTCCTCCAGTTGCTGTCTCAGTGTTTATGGAAGGAGAAATGGAACTTGCCAACATGCCTTCCAAACTTTAGGCCATTTGATAGGCAATTTTACTATGGGAAAATGTGCTACGGTAGATGGAGTTTGCCTTTATAGCCAGCTTAGCTGAAAGAAATATAGTTTATATTTCGAGGCAAGGCATAGTTAATAATTTAAAATTTCAATGGCCATGAATTTTCATGCTTTATTACAATTAATTAACTAGGAGATTTTATCTGTTTAAGGATGCCCACTAGCTCACTTATTAAATATATTCCCAAATCCTTCTCAATTGACAACGGAGGGAAAGAGGTAGGGCTTTGAGGTCCAGCTACTGTTTCTCACATGGAAACCTTCCCTTCCTTGTAGCTTTGAGGATCTGGATATTAGTGTGACTTTCTTTAAAGGAACAAGCAGATTGCTTACAGTACCCTGCTCAGTGTCACAGTAAAGATACATCCTAGAGCAGTGAACACCCATAGTCTGAAAAAGGGAGTATTGAATGTACCTGTGTTACAATTTTTTAATAATAATTCTTATCTGCTCAAAGCCTAATTTCTTCTACACGTGGCTCCATTATTTTCAGGCCTTAAACAATGTTCATTTGCATGTCTGAAGTTTTCAGATCATATCAAGAAAATTCAATCCTTCTTAGGACCATTATAAAACTTTTTTTTTCCATGTTAAAGTTATTGAGATTCACATGTAGCCAATGATCTATGTCCAAAACTTACTCCTCAAGCAGAGAATTATGAATTTGTATCATTGTTTCCACATGTACAAACTTAGCCTTGCATAAAATGTATCTGTTCTTGCATTGCAATTGAATTACTAGCACTGGCAGCACCAGAGATGATTAAATGTTAGCTTAGGTTTGGATCACTAATAATGGCTTATAATGTCTTCATATAAATCATCATCAAAGGTAGGAGTCTAAAATGTAAAATTAAATGTAGTAGGAACTGCCAAATCTCTGAGACTAGATAATACATTTTTCAAAGCTAGAAGAACTTATCATTGTGAAGAACTATCACTTTGGTACCAGACTTCTACCTGGCAGTAGTCTATAGATGACTTTCAGAAGAAACTAACTTTGAATAATAGTTAATTCAGTTTATGGGGAGAAAAAAGAGAAAATATGAGTTTAACCAAATAGGAAAAAGGCAAACAAAATCCTGTTTTTTAGGTGTGCCTTAGAAATATACAGTGGATAATACAATTTTTTATTTCGCATGCACACATGCATTTTTATTTGCCGAATTCAACTGTGCATGCTCTAACAAAACTTAAGGGGAAAAAAAGAAAGAGATACTGATTTAAGTGGCTCTAACTCTGCTCATTATTTCACTAATTGAGTTTATGTCAATAGGCAGTGGATGCATTCAAGTCATGGGTAGTGTCAATTAGCTGAACACATGGAAAGAATTAATGATTAAGCACTTTTCAGGTATTGACTAAGGAACTGACTAGTCAAGTAGTGGTAACTTCCTTAGAAGTTCTTTTGAGAGCTGTCAAGAAATGCTGACCAGGGACTTCCCTGGTGGCGCAGTGGTTAAGAATCCGCCTGCCAATGCAGGGGACACGGGTTCAAGCCCTGGTCCCGGAAGATCCCACATGCCACGGAGCAGTTAAGCCCATGCACCACAACTACTGAGCCTATGCTCTAGAGCCTGTGAGCCACAACTACTGAAGCCCACATGGCCTAGAGCCTGTGCTCCGCAACAAGAGAAGCTACCGCAATGAGAAGCCCGTGCACCGCAACAAAGAGTAGCCCCCACTCGCCACAACTAGAGAAAGCCTGCGCACAGCACTGAAGACCCAACGCAGCCAAAGATAAATATATAAAATAAATTTAAAATATATATTGACCAATAAAGAATTAGATAAAATGACAGAATCATCCACAGAAAATATAACGGTGGTGGATAAACAGAAAGCACCCGCCTATTGGAATATTTGTTAATTTGCTAAAGCATTCCAAAAAGTTAAACCTTTGAAAGATTTAATTTCTGGTTATGGATTCTTTATGTACCTACATTTACATTACTGAGTACCTCTTACCTTTAAACGTACATATTGGTGAATAGATGGGCCTCTAACTTACTCTATTAAAATATCAGAGAACTTTACTAGTTCACTGACATTCTTCTTTGTGCCCACTAATTCAATAAACTTCCTGCTTATTATTTGCCAGGGACTGCATTACTGAAATCTGAAGACAAAATGGCATGTATCTTGCCCTCAAGGAGCTTATGATCTAAAAAAGCAAAGCATAAAAAATATTACAGTGTAATGTGTGATGGCTAGACAGTGGGATGAATCATATAATGAGGGCATGTATAAGATGCAGTCCTGGTGTAAAGAAAGGTACATGTAAATTTTTTTTTTCCCTACTCCCTCAAAGTAAATCTGTCTCAAAGAGACGGGAGATAACCTTGAATTGGGATGAAGATAAAGAATATACTTGGGAGATACAAGGGCAGGCATTCCAGGCAGAGGGGACAGTTTGGGACAGTACAGTCAAAAACATGGCATTGTCTGGAAATCAGGAGGTGACTGAGTATGATTTGCACATAGGATGGCATGGGGGAGGATATGAAATTACACAGTATGAAAGACCTTACATGCTCTACATAAGAGTTTCAGCTTTTTCTTCTGTCATTATTTTCCATGGTGTGTTATGTGTACCACAGGTGGCACACATGATTTTTTGGTATTTCTTACGCTTATGAAATTTATTTCATTTTAATAGTTATATGTCATCAAAAAAACTAACACTTATAACTTGTCATTTTTATGGATATTACAATGTGCCTTTCAACAAATCAGTTTCCTCAAAATTAAAAGTAAAAATGATGTGCATGTAAAGTAAAAACCCAGAAACTGGGAAAACCTCTTAAGTGGTAGGGAATCATTGAAGGCTTTAAACAGAACAGAGACCTGATTAAATATGTATATTATATAAGGAGATAGTTAGGTGCTATTGTTCTTTTGTAGTTGTTTTTGTAGCGGTGTAGCTGACAGATGATGACAGTCTAAACCAGGGCAGAGGGGAAAATTATAATATGTAGGAGACAGCACGCACAGGGTTTGGTGATTAACAGGTGGTTGGTTCTGGAGGTTGAGGGAAAAGGGTAGATCTTAGGAACTCCTCCTAGGTTTCTGACTTGGTTAGCTGGGGGGGTTCAGAGTGAAATTTGTGGAAATGAAGAACATTGAAGGAAGAGGAGTATATTCTGTTTGAAGTGCCTGAGAGAGATGTTTAATCCTGAGTTGACTATCAATCTGTAGCACAAGATTCTGGTAGGTAAGTAGTAAAGTCTTAGGACTTTACACCTAGGAGAAGTGTAAAGTAAGGAGCTAGAAGCAAGAAAGGAGCACAGGGTAGGGAGTGGGGGCAGGCAGTGGAAGAGGGGTCTTCAAAGGAAATAAAGGAAGGCAAAATTCAGTAGAATGATGTCACTACAACCAAGGAAGCTGGGTAGTTGCAAGGAGAAGGGAATAGTAATCAGCTAAAATGATGCTTGAAAGGTAGTTACCGCGGGGGAAAGCAGGAAGGGACCAGGATTAGGGCAGATGAACAAAAGGGACTCTAGACTTCAGCCTTATCTTAATTTGTCTAATTTTTTAATTTTACGAAAAGAATGTATTCATAAAAGTAATGTATTAAACACGATTTAAGTGTTCAATTGGGTTTGGCATTTAGAATACTGATTTTGAGAGCACTTTCAGTGAAATGGTAGAGAAAAAAGCTAGCTAGTTAGCAGGTAGGTCGAATTGTCAGTGAATGGTTTGGAAGTGGAGCATGTAAGATCGTCCTTTATTGAAGTTGCTTTTTTTTTGTTTATGCCGGCGAAATCAATGAACCAAGGGTCATTTGTTAAAGAGAATTCTAACTTACCACTGTTAACCTTTTGTGGAGTCTACCATCTGTTACATAAAAAGGGATAGAAAGTCAAAAGGATGGGTACGCCTTAACCTTTGAATAATCTGAGTATGAATTACCTCTCATTTACATTTACCTTCCCACTTGCAATCTTCTTGTGACCCATGTTCTTGGAGTAACAAACATTTAATGGGTCCCTCATGTAGGACAGGCACTATTGTACTTGATGTTTGTATATTAGTCCTTTCTCTGTATGTCCTAATGCACAGTGTCAGTGAAGAGAATATTTTCTTTGTCCTTGGGCAAATACACACTTAGTTCTTTCATCTATTAAGTGGAAAGTGTTGCCCATTTTAAGATTGTGAGGCTTAAAAGATAACAAAGAAGCATCTAGACTTGAGCCTGGCACTCTATAGATGCTTCTTAAAAGTGTTGCTTTGTTGCCTCCTACTACCTTCTCTGCCTTTTCCATTAAGTGACTGTCTTTTTTTTTTTTTAATTATTTATGTCTTTGGTTGTGTTGGGTCTTTGTTGCTGTATGCAGGCTTTCTCTAGTTGCGTTGTTGCAGTGCGTGAGCTTCTCATTGTAGTGGCTTCTCTTGTTGGGGAGCACAGGCTCCACGCGCACGGGCTCAGTAGTTGTGGCGCACGAGCTTAGTTGCTCCGCAGTATGTGGGATCTTCCTGGACCAGGGATCAAACCCATGTCCCCTGAACTGGCACAGGGATTCTTAACCACTGTGCTACCAGGGAAGTCCCAAAGTGACTGTCTTAACCAGCTCTTATGATAGTAGAATCCTTCATGTCATAAACTACATTTTTAGGACTTCAAATACTGTGTGTGAAGCAAATATCAGTATGAGTAAATCAAAACCTATCAGTAATTTCAAAATCCTACAGTAAAAAGTAGATACATAAATAAGTGCATCATCATTGTTAGCAAAAAATAAAGTATGAATTTTGTGAACCATACAGTAATTCTATGTTATTTAACCTGGAATATGTTTTGGCAGTTTCTGTGATATCTCCTTGCTTTTTACTTATGTAGCCAAGAGGAACTTAAATTATAAATTTTTATTTATTTTCTACCATTACTGTGATCATTAGTATCACAAAAGTAGCAGCACCATGCAGAGTTAACACATAAGCTGTGGAGTGAACAAAGTTTTTGCAGTATGACCTTGGGAAAGTTACTTAACCAGTCTGAGCTTCTGTTTCCTCATTTGTAAAAATATACTCATCTCTTAGGGTTGTTGTGAGAATTAATACATATAATACATATAAAATGTTTAGTACAGTGCCTGGCACATAATATGCATTTGATAAATATTAGATGCTGGGGCTTCCCTGGTGGCGTAGTGGTTGAGAATCTGCCTGCTAATGCAGGGGACACAGGTTCGAGCCCTGGTCTGGGAGGATCCCACATGCCACGGAGCAACTAGGCCCATGAGCCACAACTACTGAGCCTGCGCGTCTGGAGCTTGTGCTCCGCAACAAGAGAGGCCGCCATAGTGAGAGGCCCGCACACCGCGATGAAGAGTGGCCCCCACTTGCCACAACTAGAGAAAGCCCTCGCACAGAAACGAAGACCCAACACAGCCAAAAAAAAAAAGAAAATATATTAGATGCTGCTTCTGGTTTTGTTGTTTCTATTTGCTGTGGGACTTTTGGCAATTACCTCTCTAAGCTTCAGTTTCTTCATCTGTAAAGTATCTACATCATTCGCTACTATAAGGATGAATAGACATGATGTATAAAAGGGCAAAGAGGCCCCGTAGATGTTAACTTGTGTTATGACTGCTCTGACTAGCATTAGCGATAGAAGAAGGTGGTACTGCTAACAATACTATAAAATTCTCAGTTCCATAAATTAGAATGTGAAAATTAGCAATAGTTAGTTCTCAGTAACAAAATAATTAAGAAAATTGCACATTTTTTCTTCATTAAGTCCCATACCTTTTACTTTTCAGACAGTACTACAAGAAGTGATTGAAGATGGCTCAAAATATGGATTAAAAAGTGAACTTTTTTCTGGCCTTCCCCAGAAGAAGATCGTGGTTGAGTTCAGGTGAGTGCCTACCCATCATACGTGTTGGTTAATCAACTGGCTGGGCAGGTGAGTGTTTTACTGTTTTCATCTGGGATCTCACAGAATTACACATGGAAAAATTAAAAATTAGTTAGATTATTTCCTTAAAATCACAGTGAGTTGATCATTAAACCATGAATAAAAATTTTGGACTTTGATCAAAGTACCTACTGGTTATTATGTTTCTTTTTTAATTATGTATTAACAGTTTTGTGGGTTTTTTTTTTTTGGAAGATCTTGTTCTTCCTTTTAGTAGACTCCTAAAGCACAGATGATGGTTACTATCATATTAAGAATTTCAGAGTAATGTGATTATCAGAGAACAAGCTTTGTTGTGTTGTAATGTATGTATATATATTTTTAGCTTTATTGAGGTATAATTGACAAATAAAATTGTAAGATAAAGTGTACAACATAATGATTTGATATATGTATACATTGTGAGAGGATTTCCCCCTTTGAGTTAGTAAATACATCTATCACCTCACATATTTACTTTTTGTGTATGTGTGTGAGAACATTTGTTCTACTTGCTTAGCAAATTTCAATTATACAATACAGTGTTATCAACCATAGTCACTTTGTTATACATTAGGTCCTCAGAACTTATTCGTCTTATAGCTGAACGTTTGCACCCTTTTACCAACCTCTCCTTATTTCCCCCAGCCTCCAGCCCCAGACAAGCACTTCTCCAGTCTCTGTTTCTGGGAGTTTGACTTTTTAGTCTTTAGATCCCACATATAAGTGATACCATGCAGTATTTGTCTTTCTCTGTCTGGCTCATTTTACTTAGCTTAATGCCCTACAGTTTCATACATGTTGTTGCAAATGACAGAATTTCCTTCATTTTTAAGGCTGAATAATATTCCATTATGTATACATACCACATTTTCTTTATCCATTCATCTACTGATGGACACCTATGTTGTTTCCATACCTTGGCTATTGTGAATAATGCTGCAGTGAACATGGGAGTACAGATTTCTCTTCAAGATAATTTGTTTCCTTTGGATATATACCCAGAAGTGGGATTGCTGGATCATGGAGAAGATTGTTTTTAAATTACTGGGTTTTATACTCAAATTATCCCAAATTAGGCTCCTTTATTCTCTTTGCATGTCCCCTTAAGCCTTGCTGTACTTTTCTTTTTGGCATAAGATGTTCCAACCTTACTCAGACCTAGAATTGTCCATGTCCCCCAAGAAGTCCTGGTTCCTTTTTGTGAGGGAGGTATTTAGAAGCCAAGTTCTGGACTGTAGGAGTGCTTATTACTACTGGAACTCAATTTTTACTGATGTTACTAATTCGAATCCAACATCACAAGGTCTATTACATGTAATGCGTATTATTTAAAATTACCAGAGAAATAGCCTGACGTTTTAATGTGCCTCTAAATAGTCTTCATGATAACTTTCTTATATGCCATCAACAAAACCATCTAATCTATGACTTGCTTTTAGGTAACCAAAAAAGAAGAGGGGTCACTTTCAGGGTACAGCTGACAGGATGACAGCTCTTGAACATTGTTAGAGATATTGTATTTGCCTTCCTAACAGCCAAGGAAGAGCTTCGATGAGCTGTTTTCCCACTTAGAAAGATAGAACTTGCTAGAGCCTTTGTCTTAAGTATATGTTTTTGTGGAAGATTTTTAAAAATTGACATGGCAGATATTATTTCAAGTTTTCTAACTCATTATTATAATTTATGATGATAACTTAGTTAAACTTAGTTATGATTAGTACCTGGGGTAATCAGAGGTGAATGGGTTTTATGGATTCCACATTTGTACTGTCTCTGCCGCTCAGTCATGTTCTTAGAAAAAGCAGACCCTCTAAGACTGGGTAAACTCATCTGTTTATGATAAGGACTGATTGTTGAGTAAGCTAACCATTTTATGGAGCAGATATATATTATGAATAAATCTTACGCTACCGGTGCGCTCCAATCAAGATATTTAAAGTTTAGTGTAAACGTTGTTGCATCAAAAGAACAGAGAGGGACTTCTGCAGTCATCCTCACCCCAGAGAGGAACTACACTAAGGCCATCCCCCAAGGAAAGTTGCCGTCATTTCAGTCATCTCTTACATAACAAGCCACTACAAAACTTGATACAGGGATTGGCAAACTTTAGCCCATGGGCAAAATCCAGCCTGCCATGTTTTTGTAAATAAAGTTTTATTGGAATACAGGCTTGCACATTCATTTACATATTGTCACAGTGGCTACTTTCATACTCTAATGGCAGTTGAGTACAGTAGAGTTGAATAATTGAGATAGAGACCAGATGGCCTAAAATATTTACTATCTGGCTCTTTAAGAAAAAGTTTGCCACACTCCTGATTAGTGTCTTAAAACAACAACCACTTTAATGTTCATGACTCTGTAGACCAGGAAATCAGGGAGGACATAGCCTAATGATTCTTTTACTTGCCTGTGGTCACTTATGCAACTCTGGTCATCTAGACATTATACTAGGGCTAGAAATCCGGGTGGCTCATTTACTTGTCTGGCATCTCACCTGAGGGCTGGCCAGGCATCTCTCTCTCTGCATTCTCCAACAGAATAGCCAGACCTCTTTACAGAGGTGCTCAGGGCTCCAAGATAGTAAAATATCTGGTTTTGTAACAGGCACATCATCACTTCTGTCACTGTCAGCTGGTCAAAGCAAGTCACAAGATCATCCCTGATTCAGAGCAAGGGAGTAGATTACATCTCTTAATGGAGAGTGGCAAAGAGTTTGTAGCCACCTTTAATTCTTTTCATTCATGTCTTTACAGTGATGCCCACCTTTAATTCTTTTCATTCATGTCTTTACAGTGATGCAGGACACATACCCTTCTCTGGGGAGGTACTTCAGTACTTGTACACTCCTTGCTCTTACCTAACCAACAGCAAAGGAAAATCAGTAGCAAAGTAGAATAATATCTGTTACTACACATTCACCCTTGAAATAGTGCCATCACAAGTTTCTTGAAACATGAACACGTGAAAAGTTGCCACCAGTGCTCCCTTTTAATGCCTTCTTCTCAACGTTCACTTCCTCTTCACCATCCCTTCTCCCCAGCCAAGCTCAAAATACCAAGACCGTAGTCTTTCTTGCTCACTGATTCTTTGGCTTTTCTCCAAAGTTTGTGTTTCCCATATAATGCTCTTTTTTGTTTATGCTTATGTCTAAAAATAACATGTTCTATTTGAGTTGTAGTCTATAGGCTTTTTGAAGGGCAGTTTATTTGCTTATGGATTTGCCTCTCTCAACGTTTTTCTAAAGCAGTTAAGGAAAGCTGGAACTTAAATGAGCATCTGAATGCTGATGAAAGCAGAGTCCATTTCCCAGCAGCCATCTTTGCTCTCTGTTATTTTTCATCTGGCATTGCTGTGGGACCATAGCTGCTTTCTCCCTTAGAAGTTTTCCAGTTGCTGTGGCGCTTATCATTGTGGTTTCAAAGTAGAGAAACAGGTAGAGGAGAGGGTAAAAACTGATAGAAAACATTGTTCTTGAATTTGTCCTGAAAATGAGAGAGGTGGGAGGAGAGAATTTCTTTAACTACATAGTTTCTCTAATAGACCAGGCAACTTTCCCCTCAAAGCAAGAGATAGAATCACTGTGTTCAAGAAGCTTGCCCCTTATATTGAGATGATGATGGTGATGATAGGTCAAGGAACCTGCTCATAGTCACAGAGCTAACTCTGAATCCTGTATCCTTAACCTTTCCTGCCTCCCTGATATATTGATATGTGGTTGGTTTCCCTATATTTTGTCTGATCCAGGAGCAGTGTGATAAAGTGCCAGTGTAGATGACTGTCCCCCCTGGGCTTGGGCTCCACATGGTAGGTAGAGTAAGAATTGAAGCTGACTACTGTTGCCTCTCTCCTCTCTACAGAGTCAGCCTTTCCTATTTTGTTCAAATCAAATCTGCAGGAGCACAGTCCGCAGTGGTAGCCTTTCCTCTTCTTTCGTCAACACAATCTTCCCCACTCCCTGCTGTTCCCCAGTGTGAAGTGTTCTCAAAAAACAAATTGAGGACCTGTGGTAATATGGAAGTCCAGGAGATCAGGGTACCATTTTTCACTTAGTAACTGATTCAGTCATCTTGGATGGGACAGTTTATTTCTCTAGTCTCTTTTCTTGTATGGAAAATAAGAGTAATATTATCTCTTTTCTTACAAGATTGAGGAAATTACATGAAAGATTTTTTTTTTAATTTCCAGTAAAGTGTCCAAATTGTATTCATAGTAGTTACTTTGATTGCCAAAGGAATTGAATTTGTATTTTCCATATCATTGTATTCCCTTCCGAGCAGGAATGTAGAGAATGGCAAATTGATGATTTCAAGGGAGGTTTTGTGAAGCCCTAGATAGACTCAGTTCTTCTAATTCTAAAGAAAAAGTACAAAATCTATGGCCAACAGGCACATGAAAAGACGCTCAGCATGGGGGACTTCCCTGATGGCACAGCGGTTAAGAATCCGCCTGCCAATACAGGGGACATGGGTTCGAGCCCTGGTCCTGGAAGATCCCACGTGCCACAGAGCAACTAAGCCCGTGCGCCACAACTACTGAGCCTGCGCTCTAGAGCCCGTGAGCCACAACTACTGAGCCTGAGAGCCACAACTACTGAAGCCCACGTGCCTAGAGCCCGTGCTCTGCAACAAGAGAAGCCACCGCAGTGAGAAGCCCGCACACAGCAATGAAGAGTAGCCCCCGCTCGCCACAACTAGAGAAAGCCCGTGCACAGCAACAAAGACCCAATGCAGCCATAAATAAATAAATAAATTTATTTTTAAAAAAAAAGGCTCAACGTGGCTAATCATCAGAGAAATGCAAATCAAAACCACAGGGAGATATCACCTCACACCTCAGAACGGGTATCATCAAAAAGACCACAAATAACAAATGTTGGCAAAAATGTGAGAAGAGGGAAACCTCGTGCACTGTTGGTGAGAATGTAAATTGATGCAGCCACTGTGGAAAACAGTATGGAGGTTCCTCAAAAAGCTAAAAATGGAGCTACCATATGATCCAGCAATATCACTCCTGAGTATACATCTGAAGAAAATGAAAACACTAATTCGAAAAGATACATGCACCCCAATGTTCATAGCAGCATTATTGAACTAGGCAAGATATGGAAGTAGGCAAGATATGGAAGCAGCCTAAGTATTATCAACAGATGACTGGATAAAGAAGACACACGTGCGTGCGCACACACAATGGAATACTACTCAGCCATAAAAAGAATGAAATTTTGCCATTTACAGCAACATGGATGGACTTGGAGGGCATTGTGCTAAGTGAAATAAGTCAGACAGAAAAAGACAAGTACTGTATGTTATTATTTATATGTGGAACCTAAAACGTAGACTAATGAATATAACAAAAAAGAAACAGACTCACAGATGTAGAGCACAAACTTGTGGTTATCAGTGGGGAGAGGGAAGTGGGGAGGGGCAAGGTAGAGGTAGGGGAGTAAGACATACAAACTACGATGGATAAAATAAGCTACAAGGATATATTGTACAGCACAGGGACTATAGCCAACATTTTATAATAACTATAAATGGAGTATAATCTTTCAAAGTTGTGATTCACTGTTGTATGCCTGGAACTTCTATAATGTAAATCAACTATACTCAGTTTTTTAAAACAATGCGAAAGCTTTTTTATTATTATTAGACAGATAATATAAATACCTAGTTTTTAAAAATTCAAAGATTACAGATGGGTATTCAGTAAGAAGGATGTGTACTCCCTAACCTAGTTTCCCAGTTCTCTCCATACGGGCATTCACCAATACCAGTTTCTTGCTTACCCACCTAGAGATATTCTTTGCATTTGTAAACAGATCACACACATTATATGCTGTTCTTTTCCTTGCTTTTTTCTTCAAACAATGTAGCTTACATTCCTCTAATAGCAGTACATCCAGGGCTGGCTTATTTTTATTGTTTCATAGTATTCTGTTGTCTGGAGATTTTTTTAATCAGCTTTATTGAGGTATAATTACATACAGTACAATACAGTTCACCATATTTCAACATGTAATTTGATGAGTTTTGTCAAAGATGTCCAGGTCTCATTACCATCACTGCAATTAGGATATCTAACAGTTTCTCTGTCTTTTTTTTTTTTAACCTTCATCTGTATTACTCTCTTTTATTCTGCTTACTTTGGATTTGGTTTGAGCCTCCCTTTCTAGTTTCTTATAGGAGAGCCTTAGGTCATTGATTTGAAACCTTTCTTCCTTTCTAATATAAACATTTCATGGTATAGATTGTTCTGCTTTAGCTACATCTCCCGAATTTGCTAGTAAGGCAGTCCTAAGGGTCACCCTGTTGGCTGACGTTCTCATAGGGATCACAGTCCTTCACCGTCCTGTTGTTTAGTTTCATAAAACCAGTGTTTTATATATCTTTCTTGTTTGCTGGTTGTTTTAACCCTATTGAAGAACATTTGCTTTCTTTCTAAATAATGATTAAATGAGTATCCTTATAGTTTCATGACTTCACAATTGTGCACAGGTATCTGTAGGATCAAGTTTTTAAATGGTAATACCCTTAAAAGGGGAAATATTGATAACAAGGCTTTGGAGACAGACCAAGATTAAGCTCTGTTTTTACCACTTTTCTTTTTTAATATAAATTTATTTATTTTTATTTCTGGTGCATTGGGTCTTCGCTGCACGCGGGCTTTCTCTAGTTGCAGTGAGTGGGAGCTACTCTTGGTTGGGGTGCACAGGCTTCTCATTGCGGTGGCTTCTCTTGTTGCAGAGCACGGGCTCTAAGCACCTCGGCTTCAGTAGTTGTGGCGTGCAGCCTCTAGAGCTCAGGCTCAGTAGCTGTGGCGCACGGGCTTAGTTGCTCCATGGCATGTGGTGTCTTCCTGGACCAGGCATCTAACCTGTGTCCCCTGAATTGGCAGGCGGTTTCTTAACCACTGTGCCACCAGGGAAGTCCCTTTACCAATTTTAACCAGCTGTGTTCTAGTTAATGTATCTTTTTTTAATATTGAAAAACTTACGAAATTTTCAAACATACACAAAATAGAGGAAAGGTATGTTAAGTCCCATAGGCTCATCACCCAGGTTCAAGAGTCCTCAAGATATTGCCAAATTCGCTTCATTATCTTTTTTCCTTTTTGTATCTCAAGTCCCTCATCACAAATATGAGAGTACCTTACATCACAGCTCTTCTGAGCATTAAGTGAGTTAATGCATGTAAAGTATGTCAAACTGTGCCTGTCAGATAGTGAGTGTGCTCTAGAAGCATTTGCTATTGTTAAGTTATTGATTACAACTTCTCAACCACCGAGATTAATAAATGTGTTGCTTGAGAATTTGGAGTGGTAAATCCTATTTCTGGTTATCCTGGGAAGCTTTATATATAAATAGTTCTATATTTTTGTTTTAATTTCTGATACAATAAATATTGATAGATATTACTCATATAAACAAAATTTCTTTGGGGTCCCCAGTAATTTTTAAGAAGTTAAAGAACTGAGAAGTAGTGCACTAAACTTAATTTCTAATAATGTACATTGTTTGTATCACAACATATCTCTGAATTTCCTCATCTTTTTATCAGTCCTCAAATGTACCTGCTTCCTAAGTGTGCCACTTCTGTGTATGTTATGTGACTACCTCATGAGTCAGAGGATCAATTTCACTAAGGATGGTTCTTTCTGAGATCTAATTTATCTTTGCTCTAAATGTCTAATCTTTAGCTATCTTTGCCCTAAATTACCAAAGGCTTTAGTCCACAATTGTATTAAACTATGGAGCTATGACCTAGTTCATTTTAGAACTCTTGTTCTTAGAACAGAAAAAGTAAACTTTTGCAATTATCTTGCAGTTCACCTAATGTTGCCAAAAAATTTCATGTTGGACATTTGCGTTCTACCATCATAGGTAAGTGTCATTCGTTTCACAGAAAATACTGAGCATGCCTTTCAGGGCTGTATTTGGTGATACAGTCTAATGGTTTAAGGCTTAAGTAACAAAAGGACAAAAAACAAAGAAGTTGAAATTTATATGAGCTTAATGCTAATTAAATATCACCCAAAAAATGGAAAAAAATTGGTTTAGAAATAGCAAAAAGAATTTGTTTCAAAACCAAAAGATTAACTCAGAAACCAGGTTTAACTGGTATGTATGTTTTGATTTTAACTTGTTAAAAATATGTATGCATATGAAGAAGAACTGAAAGATGCTGAAATGAAAATAGTTATATGGGATTGATAGTCATCCTCCCAATTTTTTTGTTCATATTTGTTATATAAAAGAAACTCAGTCTCAGTCATGTGAGTACTAACTGGAGTTTTCAAGACTGAAAATTGAAACAAGACTATCCTAATAAAGAGAAATTACTATAGTGTTGTACTTCTTGGCTGTAATGCTTCAGTGTATAATAGGCTTATGGTTTCCATTTACTTAAAGCATGACATTGTGTAGCAGCCCAATCTTAAAGCTGCAGTTAGAATTGTATAATATTAGAATTGGAAGGGATTTTGGAGTTTATCTCATGTAATCTGTCTTCCGGTATAGAAATCTGTCTTTTGCATGCTTACAAGAAAGTCATTTATTCCGTACTGGAATACTTTAAGGACTTGGAGAAATCAGTATTTGTGGCATAGATTGTTACGACACTAGTCAGCTCTCATTGTTACAAAGTTCTCAAGCAGCATTTTAAGAGAGGAAATGACAGGACTTGATGAAAAAGAATATAAGTAATACAATGTATAAGAAAAGCTGTTGTCTTACATGAGTAAGTCAAAAGCATAGGGTTGAACATGATAGTTGTTTGACAGTTGTTAAGGGAAATATTTGAACCAGGAAGAGATAATTATTGAAACTTACCATGTTAAGTGTTTTCATGTATTATCTCAACTAGTTTCACAATAGCCCGGTTTATTAAGTACTGCTGATTATAGATGAGGAAACTCAGATACCAAAAGTAACTTTCCCGAAATCACACACCTAGTAAGTATTGCAGCCAGGATTTGAAATTAGGCAGTCTAATTCCAAAAGCCTAGGTTCAGACATTTAGTTGGACTTATAAGATACTAAGGTGCTAAGAAAAATAGGAATATAGTCTGAGTACCAGCTGCAAAAGGTGAATCCTGTTGCTGAGACCATATACCTTGGGAAAATCTAGAAGTAGGGAAACTGGAGAAGTAGCTGCAGTACTTTGTCAGCTGTGCATATTGGCGAGGGGTTATTTGCAGAAAACTAGATCTACTCTAGTAAAAGCAGGAAGGAATTTACTATGGGATATCGAATAGTTTGCAAAGTTGTTGGGAGTGCTGAAGAAGCTTTGGATTAAGCTGACATAGATGACTCACAAAACTATACCATAGAACTTGATCATCAAGGGAGCTTCTGCCTTTTCTGCGATCACTGCCACTGCCACAGTCAGGAAACTGCCATTACTACTGCCGTGCCTTCTAGAATTCAAACTAGCAAAAGAGGCCACCCATACCCTATCTTTCACTTCCCTTGGAGGTCAGATGACAGGACACTAGGACCTCTAGTAGTGATGCCACTAAAAAACAAAGCCTCCGCTACTGTGCTTGTCAGAAAAAATAAAGGTAGCTCCCTTTCCACCTCATTTCTGCCTTCTAGATCACATACAAAGTGTATCAAATTGCCCAAACCTAAATGACTTCTGGAACCCTAACTGCCAGAGATTCTGGGGAGTGTTATTTTTAGCTTTCCAGCCTCTGCAGTATGTGAGGGCACACTAGAAGGGGAGTGGAATAGAGGTCAAATGTCAAACCAGCATCAGCAGTACAGGAAGGTGGAGGCCTTGGACTGCTATGTGCTGTTAGTTAGGGAGCAACATGAGAGGATGGACTTCATGATGGAAAGAAGGTGGAATGGGCTACTTAGAAAAAGAAAAATCGGTATGGCTAGGTTCTTTAGGACATAGCCAAATTATATATTTCTTTTTTAACTACTGAGATTCTGTTATTTTCTGTCCTTGGAATTGACTTGGAATCGCAATTACTTGAACATGTGTTCCTAACCCCCATTAATGTTGTTGAAAATTGTGAGGCTCTTTAGAATAACTGCCTCCTCCAAAATAATTTCTTACTCCCTTTCCATAACGTAGATGAAAACACAATAATGAATGTTTTAGTAAAAAGAAATTGTTAGTAAATTTTGCCAAAAGAATTTTCTGTGTTATGCTTTGATATTAGAGAAGCACATGGTTCTTATACCAAAATGGATAATGAGAGACTGTGTATTTTATTGATTTACTAGGAAATTTTATAGCAAATCTCAAAGAAGCTTTAGGACATCAAGTAACAAGAATAAATTATCTTGGGGATTGGGGCATGCAGTTTGGTAAGTAAATCTGAGGCTTTATTTTTCATATCGTTAAGTTTAATTTCTTTTAATATCTCATTACTTAATCACCTGGACAGAATACAGGCAGAATTCCATTGGATGAAGCAGTGCCTCCTACCTGCTTTTTTCCCCTAATGGCTCTTTTGCATAAATCTTATATATTACTTATTAGAGTAATTCTCACCATACAAGTAAGTTTTCAGGAAGGAAGCTTCATACAATCAGAACGAGACCTGATAAATACAGACTTTTTTGGTTTTATTAAAGAAAAGTAGCTTACATTGGTTAGTTAAATGTAGAAGTATGTATTAGGGGAAAAGTAAGCCTAGGTATACACCCTTCTCAACCACAGCCCTGCCATTTTTAAAACTAGTGAAGTCCAGCCTCCCTGGTCCATCCTACATGAAATGTTGTACCCTGGGCCGGTGGTGTAAAGGAAGAACAAACTGGGATACTTTGGCTTCCCCTTAAATTGTACAAGTGGCAGAGGGGGGCGGTGAGGGTGAGGGTCAAAAAGAAAAGAGAGAAAGAGAAGAGTGAGACCCAAACAGTTCAGTGCCACAGATTATCTCTAATGTCATGAGTTTACTCAGAACCATTCGTAGCTCATATACTGCAGTAATCAGGGTGTGGAAGGACGGGATAAATGAAGTTGCTGTGGTAGTGAAGGACTGGTAGCATGTGAAATGTGAACTTTTTATTAAAATCTCTGGCAGCTACCAGGTGCCTTTTAAGATTCAGCCCTAGTGTCACCTCTGAAAAGCATTCTGACAGCCAGACACACCCTTGCCCACTTTCTCACATCACCAAGTTCCTAGTACCCAGCTTTACTCAAATAGGCTTCTCTCTTACTGAATTCTTTTGTGTGCTTCTCTCCTCTGCTAGGTGAAATGTTCCATGAAAGCATGGGCTGTGTCGTACTTATTTTTGTATCCATAGTGCTTGGCACTTAAGAGGCACTCAGAATAATGAATGAATCTGTCTTGGGAAGTATTTCACAATACTACTCCAAAAGAAAGGCTGCATAACATTTTAAAGCTTCTATAAAGTGCAGTGTGCACTGCCAGTTCTGAAGTTCACTGATACTATTATGTTCCATATCTAGTGAAATGAAATCAGTTTCCGGAAGACAGATTTATCGTGACCTTCTCTTATGAATATTATCCTTTCAGTTAGAATCCTTTTTAGACCCTAAAAAGGGTACAACTTGAACCTAACAGTGCCCTTACTATTCACTGTGGAGGAACAGAAAACATGCCCTGCATTTTATAAACCCACCTGCAGTTCACAGTGGTTTGGGCTCTAGGCTGAACAGTCTGATTTAATAGATGGCATCCTCTTTATATCAGTTTGGCCTATTCACGCATTTCACAGCCATTAGCAAATACGTGATTATGATATTCATTACATTTTAGCTGCAGGATTTTATTGTAGTGGTTTTTTCCTAAAGGACTACTATGGTTAATGATCTGTCAACATTTCCATTATAACCATCATTGTTGAAGAGTTTTAATTTTGGCTGTTCAGCTATCCCCTATTAAAAGTTGGCAGACAGTTCCTAAGTACAGAATTAGTTTCTGAAAATGTATTACGTTGAATGTTAAATGGAATTGGCCTTTACTTTTCCTATTTCTGTTTTTTAGAACACTCTTTCCACACCCTACTCCCAAGACCCTGAATCATAATCACATTTGCTCTTGCTTGAAAGTGAATAGTGCTGGTATATGTTTTAGTCATCCTTCTAGCTCCTGTCTAAGCCCCAAAGATTGTCTACCCCGTGTTTAGTAACATCCCACTTTCTGCTGAGCCTACATAGAAAAATGTACATCAACAAGGCCCAGTAGTGGCAATTGCTCCTTTAGATCTGAAGCTAGGTAACTGATACAGTTGTAGAAACAGATTAGTTTTTAAAGTAATTGCACTACCTGTAATTACTCTTGGCCCAGCCTGCATCTATCCTTTCATCCAAAATTGTGGTCATCTTTTAGCAAAATATATTAAGAGTATAAATATTCACAGTCCATACTAAGAATTTTCATTGTAGCTTACAAACCTCAATTATTATTTTTTTTAAAAAGGTTGAAATTAATACCTTCCCTGAACTCTGAACTCATCATCAAAGACTAAAAGAAAAAAAAAATTGGCAAATAAAAGACAATCAAAGCAGATCGGCCAGATCAAAGCATTATGTCTCTTGGTCACCTTGAATGGGAGAAGTAATCAGGGCTGTTTCAAGTTTTATCTTCAGTTATTTAAGAACTAATATTGTAACACTAAGCTAATCCTACCTTGTTTTATTTTCACACCTACAAGTTTAAAAAGTAAGATTTGAAAACACTTCCCATCAGTTTCTTTTCACAAATTTTGAGTGTCTAGTGCCTGGCATCACGATGTCCTTCCACAGAGTAGCTGCTCAATAAATGCTTGTTTTATTAGTGTCTTGTAGGGAGGTGTTGGGCACCGTTAGCATAAAGATAATTTAGTCCCAGGCTCTGCCTTGGATGAGCTCGTAGTCTTTTGGTTTCTGTGGAACTAATTTCAGTGAGCTCTTCAATATATTGAATTTATGATTCAATATATTGAATTTGACTTGTGTCAGTTTATGAGGTAGCAGAACGTGATAGTGTGTGTTTTGCAATATTTTCAGGATGCATAATTATGAGAGGTTAATCTTTTTATAGAACTGTACCTGTTCCCTGCCATGACTGTTCTCTACTGTTCGATTGTATAATCTTTTCATTTACGGATTACTGTGCTAGGTCTTTTGGGAACTGGCTTCCAGCTGTTTGGCTATGAAGAAAAACTCCAGTCCAATCCTTTACAGCATCTTTTTGAAGTAAGTTGGCAAGAAACAATGTTCAAAAATGCTTCAGCTTCTTTTTTCAGAGTACAGTGCAGCTTCATAACATATTTTTAATCCCAGAGGTTTAAAAAAAAAAAAACCAAAAAACTGTTCCTTAAAACAAGGACCCAAAACAATTGAAAGTGTTGCTTATATTTTACTAGGGAGTTCCTTTCATTTTCAAATCCAGGTGTTTCTTTTATTAGTCTTTTAGTTGATTTGGGACAGTATTTCTCCAGGTATAGAAACTTCTTAGCATAAACACACAGAATAACATATTCAGCATAGAACTCTTTCAGTTTTTATTAGTTATGTACTGCAGTTTTCTTCATAGTAATAAGTATAATTCATTTAACCTTGAGAAGACATGAGTGTATACTTTTTTGCTCTTGTTCTGATGTGGGGGAAGGCACACGTGTTTCTCTGAATTTGTGTGCACTTTTTTCATTTTTCTTTAAGCTCCTTTTCCTGCCTTTTGCCCAATGTGAACTTCTTTCTGTTTTACCTCATTTAGTCCGTTGGATACTCTGCTTTTCTGTCCTCAGTCCTTCCTGGAGTTCATTAATAAAGCCCTTCCTGTCCAATTAATCTCAAGGGATGTGTTTCCTTTTCACTGTCCCAGTTGTTATCTCTGCCGCTTCTAGGCCTGACAAGAAGGAACACAGATACTATGTCAGCCACGCTGGTGACATACGGGGGATCAGACTAAGAATGTGTATGAGGAAGAGCACTTGCCAAACAGTGTTTTACTTCTCTAGCCAGAGCCACAGAGAGCACTTCATTGTTTTCCTTTTTGTTAAATTGTTTTTCTCCTGCAGCTGGCTTTGTATCAATAGCTAAATTAACAAAACACGTTCTGATTCTTAAAGACCTTTAAAGGTGTGTGATTACCTCCTGAGTCTTTGCCTTCACTTTCACTGTAAATGCCTACATTTTGATTTATACTATTAACCAAAAGATTTTTTTTTCTCTTTCCCATTAAGAGTTTTATTGATAGTCAAGAGTTTAAAAATTAATAATTCTTTACGGTCGTCTATAAAGCCTGCCACCTTAGTGCCTGGAATTTTTACTGTATCATTTTTTTTTGTTTTGTTTTGTTTTGTTTTTTTTCAGTACGCAGGCCTCTCACTGTTGTGGCCTCTCATGTTGCGGAGCACAGGGTCGCAGGCTCAGCGGCCATGGCTCACGGGCCCAGCCCCTCCGTGGCATGTGGGATCTTCCCGGACCGGGGCACGAACCCGCGTCCCCTGCATCAGCAGGCGGACTCTTGACCACTGCGCCACCAGGGAAGCCCTGTATTATTTTTTAAAACTTTGAATAATCGTGAGTATTTTTTACCACGAGGTTAGGGAACCTTTTGTCAGATACAGGCCCCAGAGACAAGCCATGGTGCAGGAAATACAAATACCCACTTGGAGACCTTCTGCCATTGAGAGAACATTTTTAAGAATTTAGAGTACAGTTTAACATATGAGAGTTACCACTCTCATCTTTCACCCACCCAACCTCAGAAGTTTTTAATTTAATCCTGTAAATAGTAAATCTTTGTTGCCCATAATGTTTTAAATATTTTAGTAAAATTTGTTCTTAAACTCCATAGAAACCTAAACATATGTTTCTTTCTATGCAGTTTAATACAGTGTCCTGCCTCTTGAGACTTGTAAGTGGGAGATCACACATCTCTGTTAGAGGTTGTTAATTGATGGACACACAAAAGGAAGGAACAAGGGCAGGGGGTACTTTTATGAATAACTAGAAACTCAAGGCACAGTGGTGTTGCTTTCATTCAGTGTTTTTTTGCCTAGTAGCTTCATAGTTGAGCAGTATTTATAGACAAAAGAGGGCAAGTCAAATACACCCACCTTGCTGTTTGTAATAGAAGATAGAAATCCATTTAGAGTACTTCTCTGCTGTCTTCCTCCTTCCTTTGCAGGATGGAGAAAATGCAGAGCCTAAAGTGGCAGCCTCTAGGTTATTTTTTTATTTATTTATTTTTTGCGGTACGCGGGCCTCTCACTGTTGTGGCCTCTCCCGTTGCGGAGCAGAGGCTCCAGACGTGCAGGCTCAGCGGCCATGGCTCATGGGCCCAGCCGCTCCGCGGCATGTGGGATCCTCCCGGACCGGGGCACGAACCCGCGTCCCCTGCATCGGCAGGCGGACTCTCAACCACTGCGCCACCAGGGAAGCCCCAGCCTCTAGGTTATTTTATCTTTGTGCTAATTTTTGCAGACCCAGGTGCATTTTAAAATTACAGCTATCACTGTAGATTACTTTCAACAACAACGTTTAGTATAAATGAGGAATTTTTTCCCTTTTTTTTTTGGAGCATTAAGCAAATATTAATAAATGATTTTACCCTGTTCCTAAACAGAAAACCTGAACCTTGGTCGAACCCATTTTTTTACTTCTCAAGTTATACTTGGAGCTCTTTGAGAGGGAAGGACCTGTCTTCCTGATCTTTTATCTGCAACCTCACACACCGTGCCTTGCAGTAAATGCTTGAATGAATTTGCCCCTTCCATTTAAGTTGTGGCATAAAGAAACCTATTGTATAGCTCCAAGGAAGGGCTAACTAACTATCATAGGACACCCTATTTATCATTGGTCAAAAATCTAACTTATTATGCAGTTTACTGATGAAGAACACAAGGGCCAGACCCAAGGTTCCAACACAGGCAGTTTGGCTCCAGAGTGTTCTGTGCACTGCACGGCACCGCCCCCCACTGGCATTATGGAATGCCTTTCTGAGCCATTCATTTCCACTGGTTGTAATTACTTACAAAGCATTTTCCTTTCTTTCATCCTTGAAGTGGTGTACCAAGGGCACAATTAGTAGTTTAGTTTTGGCAGTTTCAACCTTCTGGTGTATTTGTTTTGAATTTGGCTTCGGCCATCCAGGAGCAGATTTCGTGGCCTACATCCCTCTAAATTGCACCATGATCAGTATCCCCCCAGTTCTGGTTTCTTGGCCAGGTTAGAAATGATATTATATGGTAGTTTTAGCATTTCTTTTCTGTGATGAAAATACACCTACAGTCGTTCCTTTGCTGCATTTTCACGTTTGTGCTATGCTTTATTACTGGTGTTTCTCTGCACCTGTAGTCATTCTTTTCCCAGGACATCTGGCCATGCTGTGCATAGACCTTGGACTTTTGTTAGCCAACATTTGAAACCTTTCCTTTAGTTGTTCTAATTTGTTGTCACAAAACGGGAAGTGGTTTTTAATAGTTCCTCCCCCCTGAATCGGCCGATGAGTTAAATAATATATTTGCTGTTTAAAATTCACACTATTGATTCAAATAAAACATTTGTAGTAAGTTTTGGAATACTTATCAAAAAGGCTTTCCACTTGTATCTAAAAGTAATTTCTTATGATAAGTTAGTAAGTGTTAAATCTAAATCATGGGCATATGGGAGTCATCATTTACTCATATCTGTCTTAATAATTTTTAAAAGTAATTTCTCAGGGTTCCTCCTAGACTTAAACTACTTGAATGGACCTTGATAACACGGTGCCTTTAAGAATGTATAACCCAGCCACTTTTTCTGCTTTTGCTTTTTTGTTTCGGGTTTTTTTTTGCCCTAGAAGGTTTTAGAACTTGACTTATTGGTGTTGCATATTAATTTGGACTTTGCGAACTATAGAATTTCTCTGAAATATGAGCAGCCTCTCATAAGAGGTAAATATCATGCCAATAAAATATGCATTAGTCCTGTACCGTAGCACTGGCATTTTTAAAGTTTCAAAATGACCCCAATAGTATTTCATTATTTTTACCCTGCCCCTTTCTGAAAGGATTTGAGGTAATCACAGTGATGGGCGTTTAATAAAAAAGACATAGAAAGAGATGATGTATTACTAGGTAATATTAGATAACAGACTTCACCCTGAGTTTCCCTATATCAGTAGCAAAAAAAAAAGTAATGAAAAGAAAATAGGGCAGGACCAAAGCAACCAACCTGATGAGTGATAATGTTTACTTCCGTTTTTTAAAATGTGGAGGAAGTGTCTATTCGTCAAGAGACCATGTGTTTTCTGGCTTTCGAATATCAAAACAACTTCTCAAAGTAATTCAAGACTAAATTGATTCTAGACATATATAGGATTATTTATGCAGTTAAAAATTCTTATTTTTTAAAGAATTGAATTCAAAAGTTATTTGTTGGTTTAGGTCACTTTACTTTTTTCAGGAAAAATGACTTATGTTTGGTGTGGATTCTACTCATTATAACACTTACCTACAAGAAATAGCTTTTAAATTCTAAACCAAGATTGGAACGCAGCCATCGCTTTTGAGAGCGGTGGGACTCAGCTTAAGTCAATGTTAGGGATTTCCCACCTCCCAGGTCACACAGAGGCTCTTATGTGCGTCCCAGGGTGGCCATGGAGACCTTTTCTTGGCTTCAGTCCACATTGGTCTTGACTCACAGGCCCGGTACCCAAGCCTCTGCTTGTTTAACAGACTTCACCTGGAGGTCTTGCTGTGGCCCAGTTCCACAGGCCCAGAGACCAGCCTTCCTGTGTGGGGACACTGTGAACCATTGCCCTCTGAGGGCCTGCTGCACCTGAGGGGCTGCTCAGCTTCTACTGTTCCCGGGAGTGTTTCCCTCAGCTCCTCCTCTGTCTAGGCAGCTCTCCTTTCCTCTCTCCCTGCAGCTTCTCCGCTTCACCATTGCTCTTGACCATCTTCCACAAAGCCACGTGCCTTTCTCCCTCACCCCTACTCCCCTGGGACAGCACTACAGTGTCCCATTGTCCTCTGAGTGTTCTTAGAGCAAGGATGGAAATACCAAGCAAGGCCAGAATACATGTTAAGAGCTCAGTCGTTATCTCACCCTACTGAAATGTATGAAAAACACTTTCTTCAGCATGAAGAAAGTATTAGGCACGAGTGCGTGGTAATCTACCAGTTAGTAATTATCACCCTTGGATAAAGGTGTAAGATATCATGGATGTTATCGTGTATGTACAGAGGATAAAAATAGGAGATTCCAAACATTAAAAGAAGATGAAGGGATGGTAAAATGCTGTTTATATGCTGCTAATGATGTACTAATGCGAAATTTGGTAATTAATTACTTCAAATGAGTTATTTTTTTACCTAGGAAGTTTTGACTTTATTAACTCTTTGATGTATTGATGTATTAAATTATAATTATATTAATTTGAATTTCTTTAATATTTCATTTAACATCAGGAATTGGTCTCAAACATCCGATCAATACATGAAACATGAAACTAAAAATGAGCTTGTTTGAATTATAATCATGAATTTGATACATGTTATTCTCTTAAAAATGAGATCAAAATTAAATGCATTCTAAGATAGAGGACAAATAAATATTCAGATAAAAGGGTCTTTAGTGTCCAAGTTATGCTAACCATCCTTAGCAGTTACTCTCAGTTTTAAAGACAAAAATAACCAGGGATGGGGTTAGAGCCCTGCACCAAGGAATTCAGCTGTGCCTATGTGGCTAATGGTATTCTAGAATCAAATTTAATAAGACTAAGAGGGAGTGAGAGCATTTTCTGCTACTTTTTCACACTTATTTCTTTACATTTGGGCAGATCATCCTGAGAGCTGATTATAATTAATCAATTAAATTAGAAATAAAATGTCATATGTTTTTTGGCAATCACTACATCTAGAATTAGTGTAAAGGAAGGATTAATATTCATTTCAGGAAGTCTCAGACATTTAGTTTACTCGCTAACAAATACAGCTGGCTTTTGCATTCTAGTAACTAAAAAGAAAAATTGTGTTTCCATCCTCAAAAACACTTTTCTTCAGCCACACTCTTATTTATCATATCCAAATTTAAAATTTCCTTTTTATTCCCTTTGAGTCTGGATCTAACCCCAAAAGGGAGCTGTCTTCAGAATGCATACTTTCCAAGGGTAGAGGGTTCATGGTAACTGTAGATTAAAAACTGTCTATAATGTCAGAAATGCAGAGTATAAAATTTACTTTGTGAAGGAAAACGCATTTCTTTTCTAAAACGTTGGTGAATGTTAACTATTAGTTTTATATAGTGCGTTTACAAGCAGATTCTTAAGTGCTAATTAAAGCTCTTCTGTTGTTTGATAGTATCAGTTGATTTTCAGTAATGTTTGGTTTATCACTAAAAATTGCTGCAATGCCAGGGTTTTTCAGGAATTAGGAAGGGCTTTTTGTTTTGTTTTAATTATTTCTATTTTAAATTTTAAGAAAGGGAAAAGATTCTGGTGATGTTTTTTTCTAAGAATATTCTTATCAATATTTTGAACGCTTATTAGATTTCTAAATGTTTGGCTGTTTGAGTTTAGGGTCCTAGATTAAAAAAAAAACTACTGGGCTTCCCTGATGGCGCAATGGTTGAGAGTCCGCCTGCCGATTCAGGGGACATGGGTTCGTGCCCTGGTCCGGGAGGATCCCACATGCCGTGGAGCGGCTAGGCCCGTGGGCCATGACCGCTGAGCCTGCGCGTCTGGAGCCTGTGCTCCGCAACAGGAGAGGCCACAACAGTGAGAGGCCCGCGTACCGCAAAAAAAAATAATAATAAAAAAATAAAAAACGAATACCTTTCCTCTTCTGAAAATAAGGATATTTTTTGTATATTTGATTAGAAATTGAATACACACATGTACACACACGTGTATGTGAGAGAGAGCTGGAGAGAGACGGGAAGAGAGAGATGGGCGAAGCGGGGAAAGATTAACTTTGAATCACAAGCCATTTATAGACACATGTATATCTTTACTCCTGTAGACTGGACTATTACGCAGTTGTCAATGGATAGGTCATTCAAAGGTCAGGAAGTCTGACCTATGCCTACATATCAACCTTGATTGGAGGTTGATATGTAGGCACCCCCTGTGTAGCATGTAGTAAAATTCCAAGCTCCCAGAAGGAAAGCAGGTGTTTGGCATAAACCATATTGTTTGCATAAACAGTTTAGGCACTGTGAGCCACTCTTATCAGTTAGCTTGGTGGGAACATTCTCAAAATTCAAGTTCCCAGATGCCAGCCAAGGGCTAACCTTGCAAACAACACATTTTAAGGATAACAGTTTCCAGGCCTGCTACATTAACTCTTTTCTGCACAACTTTAAAGAGGAAAAAAAAAAGATTAGGTAGTTTTAACCTTTATTTAGGAGTACTGATTTATTTACTTCTGCCATTCCAATAATTAACATGAGCCCTCTATACAAGGTGAGACACTTTTAGCTTGAGATAGATGTTTAATGCCCTGTCCCTTTTGTTGGTAGTATCTAGTGGGTAGAAGCCACATTATGGTTGTCCTAAAGTATTCTCCAGCAATAAAATCACTTTTTCTACCCAAATGCTGCTGCCATGATATTTTGATGATATTACTGTAAGAGTTTAGAGGCCTCATATTTTTTGGTAGTTTATTTGCCAATTTTTATTTCATGCTATTTTAATAGCTTTCTGGAAAAAAATATGAGGATAGTAAATTTATTGTTCATGTTTCACCCTGGAAGTGAGTTACAACTTGTAAGTAAAATCTTTATAGTCCCTAATGCATAACTTCAATATTACTTGAGCTGTAGTGTTGATATTTTTATGTCATTTATTAATCTTGCATTTTAGAGACTGGAAAATGATTCTATGAACACTCAGTCCTAGAACTGGAAGAGCCCTTAACAAGCCATCCAACTGCACTCCTCTCATTGGGTTGGGGCAGAACTAAGGGAGCCAGGACAGATGGTGCAAAAACACTCCGGAAGTGAGCGCTCCACACAGTTCTCAAGAGCCCAAGTTGGAGTATAATTAAGCTAACTATCCCAAAGCTCTTCCTAAATCACCTGGTTTTTTCTGGTCTTTGCAGATTTAGAGAACAGTTTAAAATTTTTTTCATTAAAACAACAGCTGAATCACCCTGTGGCCTTTTCTTTTCCAGATTGAACCATTCTACTAGCTTCAATCTTTTCTCAGAGAAGTTGCAGCAATAATTTCACTTTTTTTTTTTTTTTTAAAAAAAAAACTAGGTTTTTCTAAACCAGGCATTCTTTTTTTTGGCTGCAGTGTGCGGCATGTCAGATCTTAGTTCCCAGACCAGGGATCGAACCTGCACTCCCTACACTGGAAGTGCAGAGTCTTAACCACTGGACCACCAGGGAAGTCCCTATTTTTTTTAAATTTATTTATTTACTTATTTTTGGCTGTGTTGGGTCGTCGTTGCTGTCTCTAGTTGCAGCGAGCGGGGGCTACTCTTCATGGGGTGCGTGGGCTTCTCATCGCGGTGGTTTCTCTTGTTGGGAGCACGGGCTCTAGGCATGTGGGCTCAGTAATTGTGGCTCATGGGCTCTAGTGGACAGGCTTAGTAGTTGTGGTGCATGGGCTTAGTTGCTCCATGGCATGTGGGGTCTTCCCAGACCAGGGCTCGAACCCGTGTCCCCTGCATTGGCAGGCGGATTCTTAACCACTGCGCCACCAGGGAAGTCCCTAACCAGGCATTCTTAACCTAAGGATCTGTGAACTTGGATGAGAAGAAAAAAGTACATATTATTTTCAGTAACCTCAGTCAGAAATTTAGCACTTTCCTGTTACTATATCACAAATATTTTTTAAAATTTGAATAATTGTATTTCAATGTAATTATTTCCTTTATAATCCTATGTATTTTACTTTATGCATTTTGAGAAGGGGTTATTAGGGCTCACTAAGGTAAGGGTCCATGGCAAAAAAAAAAGAAAAGAAAAAAAGGTTACACTCTGTGACGAGCGCACTTGTATAACCTTTAAATGAGAATTCTCCCGATTGTTTTGTTTTCTTCTTTTCCTTTTTGGAGATAACAGTGACTAGTAGTGTACTTCATGTAATGTACTATTGTGCCTTTAGGTTTATGTACAAGTTAATAAAGAAGCAGCAGACGATAAAAATGTAGCAAAATCAGCACATGAGTTCTTCCAGCGATTGGAACTGGGCGACACGCAAGCACTTGCACTCTGGCAGAAATTTCGGGACTTGAGCATAGAAGAGTACATTCGGATTTACAAGGTGCCTGCCCACTCTCCTGCTCTCCTGTCATGTGGAGCTGCTCTTGACGAGTACTCCTGGGTAGGAGGATTGCTTCTGAAGTTCATATTTTAAGAACAGATTTGTCATTTGTCACTGAGTTGATAATTGGGACTCAGATATTGTTCTTTGGGCTGAAAGTTAGAGCTACAAAATAAAGCCTGTGAACTTCACAGGCTGAATGTGAAATGACATCCTGATACTTCATTTCAGTTTGGCTTTTCTCTCTCTCTTCTATCATTCCTTCACTTTTTCTTAATCATTTTTTCTTCTTTTGCTTCCTTAGGCATATATGTGATGGCTATAAATTTGTTTGTCTAAGAACATGTTGGGGGTGGGAGAAATACAACAGTGAATAAAAGAGATATAAGTTCTTTTCTCATGGACTTTACACTCCAGCATGGATACAGCAGATTAAATTCAAGGCAGTGCAAATTCAACAAGAATATATACAGTCTGTTAGGTGATGATGATGTATGGAGAAAAGTGAAGCAGGGGAGGGGGGGATCAGGGGTGCTGTCTGAAGAGAGTTTCAGCAAAGATCCCACATGGCTGGAGTAAGGAAGCAAGATGAAGAAAAGTGAGAGAGGAGGTTGGAGAGGTTGGAGAGTGGGGTGGGATGTAGGACATTTTCCAGGGCTGTCCAGTCTAGCTTCCTGCTGCAGTGGAAACGTTCTGGATCTCTGCTGTCCAATATGGTAGCCTCTAGCCACGTGTGGCCGTTGAGCACTTGAAGTGTGAGTAGCGTAACTGAGAAAGTAAATCTTCAAGTTTCCTTAATTTGAATTTGAATAGCCATATGTGTCCAGCAACTCCCACGTTGGAGAGCACAGTACCACTGTGAGGGCTTGACCGTGCGGGGAACCGTTAGGAAGGTTTGAGTCACGGAGTGACTTGATTTCATTCTTATTTTCCCCATCTGTCTGACAGACTGTAGAACATCCTATTTTGTCTTAGGGTAAGATAATAGGACACATTCGTAACTTTTTTCTTTTGTTTCCAAATCCTTTTAGCGTCTAGGAGTACACTTTGATGAATATTCAGGAGAATCATTTTATCGTGAAAAATCTCAAGAAGTCTTAAAGTTGCTGGACAGTAAAGGACTTCTACAGAAAACAATGTATGACCAGGTTACTGTTCTTCAGAAAGTTATTCATTCTGCTTTGAAGTTGGTATTGACATTTTCTCTCAGTAAGGAGAGCAGAATGTCGTGTGCAGCCTTCCTGGCATTTTTTTACAGTGCTTTTTGCTCTTCAGAGTACTTTCCCACATGCTGTCTCTTGCTGCCATAGCAAAATCCTGGTAAGCTTGGGAGAAAGAATATTATCTTGTTACATGTGAGGAAACAAGCACAGAAAGTATAAGTGGCCTGCCTACGGTCACACCAGCTGATAATGGTATAACTGGAAAAGGGAAATAGAACGCTTTGTACTCAACCCTGCCTTTTTAAAAAGATTCCATCCTGTTCCAAAAGGATTTAAAGCAATTTATAAAAACAGGTATACTGAGTTCGATGGGTAGCGGGAGCGGAGAGCAGCCCCCAGAGATCCCTGAGCAGCCTCACCGCCGCCGCCGGCCTGGTTGCCATCACAGCCCAGGAGGAGCCGCAGCCGTGAGCAGCGAGGCCGAGACCCAGAAGCCGCCCTCAGCGCTGCCGACACCAAGCCCGGCACGACGGGCTGCGGCGCAGGAGGCGGCGGCCCCGGCAGCCTCGCATCGGCGGCGCTTGCCGCCGGGGACAAGAAGGTCATCGCAGCGAAGGTTCTGGGAACATAAAATGGTTCAGTGTAAGAAACGTATATGGCTTCAGCAACGGGAACGACACCAAGGAAGATGAAGGTGTACACCGGACTGTCGTAAAGAAGAACCCGGGAAGTGCCTTCGCGGCGTAGGAGACGGAGAGACTGCGGGGCTCCATGTCGCTGAAGGAGAAGAGGGTGCGGGCAGCAGACGTTGCAGGCGCTGGGGGGTCCAGCGCAAGGCGGTACACATGCACCAGCCCGTAACCATCACAGCCGCTCTCCGCGTCACAGGGGGCCTCCATGCAACCTCCAGCAGTATTACCGGGACAGCGAGAGAGGGGAAAAGATGGAGGGATCCGAGAGTGCCCCCGAAGGCCGGGCCCGACAGCAGCAGCCCTACCGGCGCCCACCTTACTGCGTGCAGAGACCCTATGGGCGTCAACCACAGCGTTCCACCCTCCTGTGCAGGGAGAGGTGATGGAGGGTGCTGACAACCAGGGTGCAGGAGAACAAGATAGACCAGTGAGACTGAATATGTATCAGGGTTATAGACCACCGTTCTGCAGGGGCCCTCCTCGCCAAAGACAGCGCAGAGAGGACGGCAGTGAAGAAGATAAGGAAAATCAAGGAGATACGAGACCCAAGGTCAGCAGCCCCCTCAATGTCGGTACCGCCGCAACTTCAGTTACAGACGCAGACGCCCAGAAAACCCTAAACCAAAGATGGCGAAGAGACACAAGCAGCCGATCCACCAGCTGAGAATGCGTCCGCTCCCGAGGCTGAGCAGGGCGGGGCTGAGTAAATGCCGGCTTACCATCTCTACCATCATCCGGTTCAGTCGTGCAACAAGAAGAAATAAATATGAAATTCCAGCAATAAGAAATTAATGAAAGATTGGACATGAAGACCTTAAGTGCTTACCAGATAACTAGAGCTATCTGCATTATCTATGCAGCATGGGGTTTTTATTATTTTTACCTAAAGACGTCCCTTTTTGGTAATGACAAACGTGTTTTTTTAAAAAAAAAAACAAAACTGGATTTTCTCAATACACCTTTAAAGGATTTTAAATTGTTTCATATCTGGTCGAGTTGAGATTTTTAAGAACCTCATTTTTAATTTATAATAGAAGTTTACAACTTGATTTTTTCAAAAAGTCAACAAACTGTAAGCACCTGTTAATAAAGGTCTTAAATAATTGTTAAAAAAAAAAAAAGGTATACTACAACCCCAAGCTTTTGAAAGAGTAAAATGAGGAAATCAAGAAGCAGGGCAGAAGAAATAATAGGACGTCAGGGATGATATTAGTACATCATGTAACACACACTGGGATTCTGCTTCTTTGCTTAAGGTAGATTTCTAATTTAGCTTTGAGCTTCCTGTCAGCCAAACAGAAATGGCACCATTCATAGGAGCCCAGCCATGTGTAACACGGAAGCAAACCAGTTGCTTAGAAGTGCCATTTTTCCAGATGGCCAGCAAACACATGAAAAGATTCTCAGCATCACTAATTATTAGAGAAATGCAAATCGAAAGTACAACGACGTATCACCTGACACCGGTCAGAATGACCATCATCAAAAAATCTACAAACAATAAATGTTGGAGAGGGTGTGGAGAAAGGGGAACCCTCATGAACTGTTGGTGGGAATGTAAATTGATACAGCCACTATGGAAAACAGTATGGAGGTTCCTTAAAAAACTAAAAATAGAGCTACCATATGATCCAGCAATCCCACTACTGGGCATATACCCAGAGAAAACTATAATGCAAAAAAAACACTTGCACCCCAGTGTTCATAGCAGCACTATTTACAATAGCCAGGACATGGAAGCAACCTAAGTGTCCATAGACAGAGTAATGGATAAAGAAGACATGGTACATATATACAATGGAATATTACTCAGCCATAAAAAGGAATGAAATGGGGTCATTTGTAGAGATGTGGACAGACCTAGGGAGTGTCATACAGAGTGAAGTAAGTCAGAAAGAGAAAAGCAAATATCATATAATAATGTATATATGTGAAATCTAGAAAAATGGTATAGATGATCTTATTTGCAAAGTATAAATAGAGACACAGACATAGAGAACAAATGTATGGATACCAAGGTGGGAAGAGGTGGGGAGGGAGGAATTGGGGGACTGAGATTGACACATATACATTATTGATGCTATGTATAAAGTAGACAACTGATGGGAACGTACTGTATAGCACAGGGAACTCCTACCTAATGCACTGTGGTAACCTAAATGGGAGGGAAGTCCAAAAGGGAGGGGATATCTGCATGTGTATGGCTGATTCATTCTTTTGTGCAGTGGAGGCTAACACAACATTGTAAAGCAGCCATATTCCAATAAAAATTAATTTTTTAAAAAGTGCCATTTTTCATAGTAACAAAGAGCTCGTCATCCTTATAAGAAAGACATGGAGAATGTGGCATACGACATCCTCAGTAATGTCCTTAAGGACAATTTTTAGATCGCCATATACAGATTCTAATTTTTGATCGGGCAGGAAAGACAGTAACAAAATTCTGTGGTTTTATTACTCAAGGGTACTTTCTTGCATGTTAAAAATTAGCCCAATATTGAGTGTTACAGTAACTTGGATTAGAAGAACATGATGTTTCATGGTTAAACTGAAGTTGAAACCTCATTTTTCAACTAGTTACGTTAAAGACTTTACTTCATCCAGAGTACAGAATTTAAAATGATAAGTAAATATTAATTACAAAATACCTACTCTTAATAGATTGATTCAAGGTCAGATTCCTTCTTATTCTTTATTGTTGGTTACACCACTTATTGCTACTTAAGTAATAAAAATAGCTCTGGTTTGCCAAAGATAATATTATAGATATTATACTATTAACGGTTTTAATTCATTATGTTGTTTCAGAGTTACCTTTTTGCATTTCTAGAAAAGGCACAGCTGTAGTGGATCTGTCAGGAAGTGGTGACCCCTCCTCGATTTGTACTGTAATGCGAAGCGATGGGACGTCTCTCTATGCAACCAGGTTTGTGTCTTGTGTGAACCTCATCATTAGAATGCATGACTTCACATTCTTTGTTCTAGGATTAATGCTAAGACAATCATTTTATTCTCAAAACTGTTACCAAATCCTGATTTCTAAAATCTTTTGTTCTCATCACTCAAAATATTTTTATTGGATTTCTGTTTATGGCCATTTATAGTTTCTGGAAAGGTTTAATATCATCGGAAAAGAAACTGAAAAACTGATTACAGTTAGTTAAACATCCTAGGATTTCCACAGGTGAAGACATCGTTCTACAGACTATAAAACCGAAGTACCTCCTAGCCAACTATAAATATTTTATAATTGCATATTGACAGAAAATGTATACTAAACGGTGTTCATGTTGGCTCAGTGGTATCCTCACTCGGTCAAGATCATCTTATGTGCATATAAGTACCAGTCCTCATTCAGACTGTGGTAAAATAGACCGAGCGAGAAGTAGGCCATGCCACTTATATATTTTCATTTGTCTCCATGACCAACCCCTGTGGAAAGGAGCAGCCTCTGTTAATCAGTAATAACTGGGTTTATCAAGCACACTTATTTCTGGGACAAAGCTAATAGGAAGGAGAAGACAGGACCATAAAAAAGCCACACGGCCATACTCAAGCACTGCTAGCAAAAGGTCCTAGTGTCTCCCGGGCTAGAATTTTATGTTGGATCACAAACCACTTTTGTAGCATAGTTAATGATATTTTGTTGTTGTTGTTAACTACCATCATTTTTTTCCAAACAACTTTAAACAACCATCTGCCTCTCTTACTGTCCCTTAGAAAAATCATTCTTATTTTCTGTTACTTTTTGGCATTTCTTTTTATCAATTCCATACAATTGGAGTTAGGAAATGAGAAGACCCTGTATATCTAAGAGGTACATTTCTTTTTTTAGATACAAAAAAGTATACAGTAGAAAATTTTTTTTGTGCCAGCTAATTATTGCTGGACAGATTAAATAAACCTTTGAGTAGTGGTTATAAGAAATGTGTTTACTCATGTAAGCAATAGGGAATTAAATTCATTATCTTTTAATAAACTGTAGTGGAATATAATCTGCAAAAATACTGAATCACTGAAACTAACACAATATCGTAAGTCGACTATACTCAAATTTAAAAAAAGAAAGAAATGTGTCTGCTCAGAATAGAGGCTCCATGTCGTAAAGACTCTATAATTATCCTTATCTGCTGTCTTTTGAGGGGCTATCATTAGGTCCAGATTTTTCTGTTTATTTTCCTTAATACCTATACCTTCCCTTTTTTCTTTGGGAGAATCATCTTTGTGCCACTTGTTGAAATGTTTGATTTTTCACCTTGCTCTAACTGTACTTGTTTCTGTCCTTTCAATGGGTTCCTTATAGAATACAGCTATGTGTGTGGTTGTAAATTAAGGGAGTTGTTATAACAGACAAAGAAGAATGCAGGAGGATACTGACAAGAGCACAGGGTGAGGCTGGAGACCTGCATTTTTGTTCTGAGACCATGACCATCACTTAACCTCTCTGGGCCATGGTTCCCTACTTTGTGAAAAGAGAGACCTGAACTAAATGACCTGGCATTTCTTCTGGCTTTTTTTTTTTTTTTTTTTTTTAATGTTTATTTGGGGCTGTGTTGGGTCTTCATTGCTGTGCGCGGGCTTTCTCTAGTTGCAGCGAGCCAGCACTACTCTTCGTTGTGGTGTGTGGGCTTCTCATTGCGGTGGCTTCTCTTGTTGCGGAGCACGGGCTCGAGGCACGCAGGGTTCAGCCGTTGTGGCACACGAGCTCAGTAGTTGTGGCTCACAGGTTCTAGAGCCAGGCACAGTAGTTGTGGGGCACGGGCTTAGTTGCTCCGAGGCATGTGGGATCTTCCCGGGCCAGGGCTCGAATCCGTATCCCCTGCATTGGCAGGTGGATTCTTAACCACTGTACCACCAGGGAAGCCCTCTCTGGCTTTCAAATTCAGGTTCTGCAAACTCAACCTAGGACTTTTTCTTATATTCATCTCTTTTTCTTTGGATCAAAAAGTTTTTCTTTGTTTTGTGCTTGGCTCAAATCAAAAAATATAATGGGGTGTATATTTGTGACTTCGTTTTGGGGATAATCTATATCAGTGTTTTACAACCTTTTTTTAAATTATAACCCTTCTCAGGAGCCTTTTTAGCCATATTTTTTTATACTTGCCCATCCTCATGAAATTTTAACACCACAGATGTATCTGTATGTATTGTATGCATATATGTGCTTTATACATAAATAGAGTAAGATTTTTTTGTCCCTCACGAGACAGTTTTTGCCTCCATTCAGAACGCATGCTCTGGGGACTTCCCTGGCGGTCCAGGGGTTAAGACTCCACGCTTACAATGCAGGGGGCGCTTGCTCTGTTATATCTGGATCCCGAAGTAGGTACCAGTGACATTTTGATGATCCCCAAGATTTCAAAAGATCTAGGAACTTTAAAAATCCTCAAAATCCTCCCAGTGTCATGTATTGTTAAGCAAAAATAGCTTTAATTTTTTTTCTTGCAGTTTTATTGAGATATAATTGGCATACAGCACTGTGTAAGGTGTATAATGATTTGACTTACGTACGTCACGAAATGATTATCACAATAAGTTTAGTGAACATCCATCGTTTCATATAGATAACAAAACTAAAGAAATAGAAAAAAATTTTTCTTGTGATGAGAACTCTTAGGGTTTACTCTCTTAACATTAACTTTCATATATAACATACAGCAGTGTTAATTCTATTTATCATTTTGTACTTTACATCCCTAGTACTTATTTATCTTATAACTGGGAGTTTGTACCTTTTGACCACCTTCATCCAATTCCCCCTCTCTCTGTCCCTTGCCTCTGAGATTCTACAAATCCTATCTCTTTTTCTATGAGTTTATTTGATTTTGAATTATAATTGACCTACAACACTACGTTAGTTCCTGTTACACAACATAGTGATTTGGTATTTCTATATATTCAAAATGATCACCATGGTGAGTCTAGTTATGATATGTCACCATACAAAGATACTACATAGTTATTAACATATTCCCCACAAGTTAATTAGCTCTGATTTTAAAATTCAATATTTAAATAATTTTCACCTAAAATTTTTCACTTAAAATTTTATAGTTTATGGTTTGTTTTTAAATATTTTGTACTGTGTGCAAACTGGGTATTTTGTCCTTAACCAGAGATAAGAGGTAAGTGGAATTTTTGTCAAAGGAATTTATGGTCTTTTTAAATGCTTTAGAAAGTATTGCTTTCGAATGATCCAAGACGTTGGAAGAGTAGCTAGAAGATACTGTATCACCTATGTTTTAAATATGTTCTTTAAGAAAGTATATTGCAGAAAAGTGACAGGAAAGTAATTCTTTCCAGTAGAGGCTTAATTAACAAATCATAAAACATTTACCTACAGACACCTTGCCTAGAGCTATTTAGTTATTATTACTACTTGTCCCAGAGCTTTTATTTATTTTTTATCTTTTCACAGCACTTTCATAATTCTTTTCCCAAAGCTGTTTTTGTTATTACTATTTTGTATCAAAGTATGGTACTGGGATTATATAAGCATGGGTACTATACCCGAGGCTTGGAATAACAGTAGTTCTTAATGAGAAAAGCCTCATTACTATTAAATAGGTAAAACAAATTATTACCCAGATCTGCTTAGTAACTCTTAATCTATGGCCATTTTTTTCAGAGATCTTGCAGCTGCTATAGATCGAATGGACAAGTATAATTTTGATAAAATGATTTATGTGGTAAGTAATCACAATAAAGAACAAAAGGTTATGATCCCTACTTCATGAAAACTGCAAAGATAGATATTGAATGCCTTGTTGAAAAACTAGGCAAAAATAATTTTCTCAAACTATAGAAAGGATTCAATGTTAAGTGTATGTATGATGGCAAACACTATGTTTAAAAAAAAAAACTTAAAAATTAAAAAGTTCACATTACTTCATAGTAAAAAAACAAAAATTACCCAAATGAATGGTTATGTGTAACAAATATGTGCATGTCACTGTAATACATTTCTTTAAAATAACTTTCTATTTTAAATACTTTAGAACTCACAGAAGTTTCAGAATGGTAGAGTTTCCATGTAGCCTTCAGTCTTCTCCAAAGATAATATCTTACATAACCATGGTACTTTGTCTATACCAGGAAACTAACATTGGTAGAGACCTTAGTTAAATTTCGCCAATTTTTACACATGCTTGTGTATGGGCATGGTGGAGGGGGGTATGAAATTTTATCACATGTAGATTCATGTAACCATCACCACATTCAGAATACAAAACTGTTCCATCACAAAACAACCTCTCTTATGGCAACCACTTAATAATCACGCATTCCTCCAACCCTAACCACTGGCAACCAGTGCTCTGTTCTCCATCATACCATTTTGTCACTTTGAGAATGTTATATAAATGTAACCACATTAGGTAACTTTTTTTTTTTTTGGCAGTGTTGGGTTTTTGTTGCTGCGCGCGGGCTTTCTCTAGTTGCAGCGAGTGGGGGCTACTCTTCGTTGCAATGCACAGGCTTCTCATTGCAGTGGCTTCTCTCATTGCAGAGCATGGGCTCTAGGTGCACGGGCTTCAGTAGTTGTAGCACATGGGCTCAGTAGTTGTGGCTTGCGGGCTCTAGAGCACAGGCTCAGTAGTTGTGGTGCACGGGCTTAGTTGCTCCGCAGCATGTGGGATCTTCCCGGATCAGGGCTCGAACCCGTGTCCCCTGCATTGGCAGGCGGATTCTTAACCACTGCGCCACCAGGGAAGTCCCACATTAGGTAACATTTTGAGGTTGGCTGTTTTCACTTAGCATAATGAATGCCCTTGAGATCCACCCAAACTATTGCATGTGTCAGTAGTTTGTTCCTTTTATGCTGAGTAATATTCTAGTCTCCCCTTCCTTTCTTTCTGTGTGCAACCTCCCTTTCCCCGAAGGAAAAAAAAAGTTGCTATTAAATATATTTTTAGAGCTTAGCTTTGGCCTTCCTGGAGCTAAAGGTCATAACAGCTGAGAGAGGAGGAATTTAGATAGAAAACTCACAAGGTTAAATTTCATGTTCCCTCCTGGCTCAGTGGAGTGCTGCAGCTCTTACTTCCTTCTCTTTTAGAGGACTCACCTTAGACCTTCTTCTGGTGGCATCTGCTTTGTGTGCTTATTTAAAACATATCCACTGACAGTGACTCTAGTCTGTCAAAACTCAAATATTTTAATTTGATTTATGTCCAACCTATTGTAGATTAACTTATCAGTGTTCTTTTATTTTAAATAAATTTTTTTCTCAAGACAGATAAAGGGCAAAAAAAGCATTTTCAGCAGGTGTTCCAAATGCTGCAGATCATGGGATATGACTGGGCAGAAAGGTACCGTACTGTCTGCATGGCTCTTAATTGCCTGCTCAAGATTAAAGTTTTGCTAGGTCAGCCATGTCCAAAAATGTAGCAGATTGTTAAAGATTTTCATTCAAAATTCACTTCTTTGTTTCAAGATGTTAGTGTGAAAAAACAGATTTGTTCTTTGTGCTAATTTTTGTCCTGGTTATATTAATTTCTAGCTTATAAACATTTAATAAATGGTTTTATTAGACATCTCTCAGTGGCTTGATTTTCAAAATTCTTAATTCCCATCTCCTTTTTTTCCATAAAGGCAACTAGTAATTTAATCATATGCTAGTGATTATGAAATGAAGCTGTGTGTTTAACATCTTCTGTGGCATACGTCACAGCATATTTCAATTAGTAAATTTTTTAAAACCTCTCTATGAGAGTTAAAGTTAAGACTGTTCTCTATAAGCGTATTGTTATATTCTTTGATCACCAGCTCCTTTTCAGTTTTCAGTGAACTAAGTGCCTTCTCCATTTTAGGTGCCAGCACGTGCCCTTTGGGGTAGTGCAGGGAATGAAGACTCGAAGAGGAGATGTTACTTTTCTGGAAGATGTTCTAAATGAGATTCGATTGAGGATGCTACAGAACATGGCTTCTGTTAAGAGTGAATTCATTTTTTTGTTGTTACAGACATAACTTACGTGCACTTTTATGTTTTGCTGGACTTCTGTGCAGTGTGATTTATTATGACCATCCCTCCATTGAACTTTCATAAACCTTGGCACAAATAGCTTTGCTAATTCGAGGTGCCAGAATTTCTAGACTTGCTGCTGGGCTGTTATTCAGTTTAGTAATGGGAATTGATACACCCTGAGCCTCTTTTCCTGGGCAGCTTCAGCACTGTCACTCCACGGTTGGAGTGCTTGTGCAAAGTTCCTGTGTTCCATAATCAGAAGCAAGTCCCAAGTCCTTATGGCTTTGTTTAATCTTCACCTTTGGAAAAATAAGTACCAGCTCTATCTAATGTCTTCCAAGGGATGTTTGTAAGAAAAATAAATTCGTGTTTCTTCCCTTGTAACAAAGGCTTGAAAACATCATTATCAAAGTTAAATCAGCCCACATTAGGACAGTTAATTGCCTGCTGTACACCTGTTTATTCTTGATGCTGTCAGCATATAGTTTTGTTAGGTTTTATCTCCACTTTAGTCCCAGATTCTGTACAGTTTCATGCAAGGTTAAAGTAGCTGCCTTTGTCTATTTCAGCCACCAGAGAGCTGGAGAACCCCCAGGAGACAGCAGAGAGGGTGGGGCTCGCAGCCCTCATCATTCAGGTCTGTGAAGACTGCTTCCCGGGAGAGCCTTTTATTTGGTACTGGGACAAATCCCAGCGCTGAAAACTTCCTCTGTCATTTTAGGACTTCAGAGGTTTCCTGTTATCTGACTATCAGTTCAGCTGGGATCGTGTTTTCCAGAGTCGCGGGGACACGGGGGTCTTCCTGCAGTACACACACGCCCGCCTCCACAGGTGAGAAGGGTCTGCAGGGAAACACTGGGCCGCTCTGTCCTTCCCAGGGTGGGGTCTGGATGGAGTGATTCCGAGACCAAAGGCCCTGTTTTCTGGGCTTCTCCGACATCTCACATTCAAAACTAGTTGAAGTACAGTGGACCTCTTATTATGTTTGGGTCTTGTGGGGTTTTTTAAACATTTATGTATTGCACACCTATGAAACGAAATGCTTTTATATATATTACGTTATTTAGTACTCAGAATAACCCTGCCAAAGAGTATACTCCGTTTTCAGATGAAGAAACAGATGTAGGAAAAACTGAGGCATCGGGTCAAATGATGGTAGCTTCCGAGTCTAGGACTGTATTAAGGAAAGCAAGACTGTGAGTTATGAGGTGATGTTCATCATTTGCAACTGAGTCCTAGGATGACTTGTTTAATCCTTTGTTGTTTAAACTTGTGATAACAGTTTGGAAGAGACTTTTGGATGTGGTTATCTAAATGATTTCAACACTGCTTGCTTACAAGAGCCACAGTCTGTTTCCATTCTCCAGCATCTTCTCAGGTACAGTTTCCTAACATTATCAAGTCTGCTTCTGCTCCATGAAATAACTGTTGTAGTTTGCTGACCACTGGAATCAACAGGCCAGTGACTCTAGACAGCGCTTTTCCAAAGGTGTGACCAAAAAGTGATTGCCTGCCCTTTGGGAGCAGACAGAGGGCATGCTCACGGCTAATCCTTGGGCTTAAAAAATATTATCACCATTGAATTAGCCCAGCTGTCTAACATCCTTTAGGTCATGGTGTGAGAACGTAAAGCCTGGTAAAAGCATAACCTTTTAGTGTAGAAATGATCATTTTCTCACCCTCTGTGATAAGTGAAGGAAAATCCCTGCCTTTGTGCACCATCCCTGAGACCATAAGCCCTTCATTTGCCTCTTGGTTTCAGTTCAGCTTCAAATACACTGGGCAAGAGATCATACTTCTGAGCTCTCATGAGCATTATCGGTGAAGCCAGACTTGTCAGGAGAGACTGACGAATATCTGGAAGGGATATGGAGGGTTAACAACAAGGCCTATTTCTCTGATTGCCACACAGTGGTCAGTGGTTCTTTCCTGGGATGAGGGGTGAGTTTACTAACATTTGGCTAATTTGTGTGGAAAAATAAGCCAACCTGGTTTTCTTGGCAGTGAGTAGACTCTTGTTTGCTAGATTATGTTCCTAAGTATGGCTAGAGGCTTTGTACATTTAACAGCCATGATTTGAGTCCTTGCTTTGGGCTAGGCCTATGGGATCTCAAGGTGATTTAGAAAGTACCTGCCATCAAGGAACTTGTAAGAAAGAAAGATGTGCCTTTACCTTCAAATTTACACAAGGTCTTTTTTCATATATCTTCTACCATTAATGATATCAAGTCAACCTTATATCGTAGATCTTAGCTTAGTGTAATATGAGCCCAGCCTTCCCCTGCCAACCACTCCTGTCATCTTTCTTTTAGGTTCGATGAGGTGCTTTATAGGTCAGCCCAAGACCTTCAACCCAGGCATATTGTCAGTTACCTTCTAACTCTAAGGTATGTTATAAACTTGCTATTTTGGGGTATTAAAAGACATTTGATATGACAAAGGACCTTTCTTTCATCTAAAGGTCTCCTATAGACAAATCCATTGGCCTAAAAAATTTTATGCTTTAAGTTACAGGAATTCTTGCTTCATCTTTGCAAATTAGCAGTTAATGTTTATTCATTCATTCATTCATGCAGTGATTGAAGGTCTGGTCACTGGAGTCTAGTGAACGGGAACCGATAGGTACATCATGGGTGGTCACAGTACAGCCCGTGTTAGGATAGATTGGACATGAGGGGCAATGTTAGGGCACTTAGCCCAGCCTTGAGGGTTCAGAGAGGGCTTCTCAGAGGAGAGGAGTAGATGTCAGTCAGGAGAAGCAAGGTGGCAGAGAAGGAGGGAAAAGCCCAGAGTTGAGCAAGAACATGATCCATTAAAAGCACTTCTGGGAGAACAACTGTGTTCTGTACTAAGGCGTTCTGACTTACTTTCAGGGCAGTGGGGTCCATGAAAAGGTTTTAAGCAGAGGCACAGAAAAGTCAGTCTGATGGAGGGTAGAGAATGAATTGGAAAGCGAGTAGATGACACTTGGATAGAAATTTCACGGTGGCTGTTTTAGAAAGTTTGAATAGAGGTTGAGTTTTATAGCAACAGTTGTATCTTCTCATAAAGCTATTTAAGAAAGGAAGTATTTGCTTTTACTCAAGACTTACTGAAATCAAAGGTTTATTGGGACTTCTTCCTTTAATATGCTTTTTACCTTTCTTCCCCAGATTTATAGATTTTTTTTCCTTTAATTTCCACTTAGACATATAGAGATGAAGAAGCCAGAAAGTCTTATTAAATGTCACTTAATCATTGAAACTAATTTCATAAGCATCATTTCTCTGGCACTGTTCTTGCTGCCATAACCTAAACAGAAAAAATATTTTAAAGAAGAGTGGCCACTGTATGCAGAGTGGATTGATAACTAGTCTTACCCCACCTCCTCCCAGTACAGAAGGAGACAGGCCAGACCGTGTTATACATTTCATCTTGAGGGATGCCTAAATAAGAGAAAACTAATTATTAGAAAAGAATCCCCTATACTCATAAAACTAACAATGAAATCAAAATCTTAAGAACAATGAAACTAATCATAATACCACCTGGTATTAGTAGAACCAGGACCAAAAATCTAAAACCGGAGTTTAGTGTGTTTCACTTTGCCAGTTATTGAAAAGCAGTGAATTCAGCCTCAACTTCCCAACTTTGGAAATATCCTTTAGTGGCTCTCGGCTTTGATTTCTCTAAGTTGAGGGAGTAAGATTAGATATCAAGCTTATATGTTACACAGGAAATTAGCTGGTCCTAATCATGATTATTCTCTTCCTGTTTCAGTCATCTTGCAGCGGTGGCACACAAAACACTACACATAAAAAACAGCCCTCCTGAAGTGGCCGGGGTATGTTATGTTGAGTTTTGCTGTGTAATCTCTAGCATCCTCAGACTTATTACTGAGTCAGTCTTGTCAGTGTTTTTAAAATAGCATCCTGTTGTTCACCTACAGAAGTGTACTTACACACTCAAGGTAAAAATTAGAATTGGGCTGTAACAATCATTGTTACTTTCCAACATACTGGACCATGAAACACCTTTTCCTACCAGGATGATTAGCTCCCCTTATTTGAAGCTGTACTTTATGGTGTTAGTTACTCCCACTCCACGGCCCTTGGGTACCAGTCTTACTATAACAAATCCTAGGAATTTGTCTTCCTTTTGCCTACAGGAAACCCTAGGGCACTTGGAGATACTGTTGTACATTAAATTAGAAGAAAGTTAGAATTACTTCTAACAGGAATTTTATCTATTCACTCACAGTTAGCCTGTTACTGAATTGACCTTGAATCATTCTTGAATTTATTTTGTAGGCCAGACTTCATCTTTTCAGAGCTGTCCGCTCAGTCCTAGCCAACGGAATGACACTTCTTGGAATAACACCTGTATGTAGGATGTAATTTCTAATTAAAATTGCTTTTAAAATACTAAATGAATTCTAGTTATCTATTCTTACATGCCTTGCTATTTAGAATAGAACTGAAACTATTATTCTATGTCAGAATCTATATTTTATTGTCCATATTTTATTAAGTGATTTATCAACTTATTAAATCTTTATCTTTTAAAAAAATCATCTGAGTTTCCTCATGGTCAATAAGTACTAAATGGACTTTTGTTAAACTAAGTTAAATCTTTTTATTTATTTATTTTTTTGGGGTACACGGGCCTCTCACTGTTGTGGCCTCTCCCATTTCGGAGTACAGGCTCCAGACGCGCAGGCTCAGCGGCCATGGCTCACGGGCCCAGCCACTGCGGCATGTGGGATCTTCCCAGACCGAGGCATGAACCCGTGTCCCCTGCATCGATAGGCGGACTGTCAACCACTGCGCCACCAGGGAAGCCCGTTAAATCTTTTTAAAGTCATTGTGGTCTACCGGAGACAAAGGATTAGAGTTTAAACTCTGGCTTGAGGGTTTTTTGTTTTTCTTTTTTAATTGAAGTATAGTTGATTTACAATATTACATTAGTTTCAGGTATACAACATAGTGATTCAATATTTTTATAAATTAAACTCCATTTAAAGTTATTACAAAACAATGGCTATATTTTCCTGTGCTGTGCAATATATCTTTCTTCCTTATTTTATACATAGTAGTTTGTATCTCTTAAGCCCCTACCCCTACCTTGCTCCTCCCTCCTTCCCTCTCCCCACTAGTAACCACTAGCTTGTTCTCTACAGCTGTCAGTCTTTCTGTTTTGTTATATTCATTTGTTTGTTTTATTTCTTAGATTCCACATATAAGGGATAACGGAGTATTTGTCTTTCTCTGACTTATTTCACTAAGTATAATCTCTAGGCCCATCCACGTTGTTGGGAATGGTGAAATTTCATTCTTTTTATGGCTAATATTCATGTATATACACCACATCTTCTGTTGATGGACAGGTTACTTCCATATTTTTGCTATTGTAAACAGTGCTGCTATGAACATTGGGATGCATGTATCTTTTTGAATTAGTGTTTTTGTTTTCTTCAGATATATACCCAGGAGTGGAATTGCTGGGTCATATGGTAGTTCTATTTTTAGCTTTTTGAGGAGCCTCCATACTGTTTTCCAAAGTGGCTGCACCCATTTACATTCCCACCAACAGTGGGAGTTAAAGTCCCCTACTGTGTCTGTGCGCAAATGTGCACACTCCTCGTGAGCAGTGTCCAGGCTTCCCACAGCCCTCCTGTCCCACCAGCCCTCTGACCAGCCAGGGGGCTGCCTTCCCTGTGCCAGACCCAGGGCTGGGGTGCCCAATATGTGGCTTGAAGTGCTCACTTCCAGGGAGGATCTCCACCCGTGTGATCTCCCTTTTTCTGAGTCCTCTCCCTGGGGCACAGGTCCCAACCTGCTCACTTCTCTTCCCTTCCTACCTGATTCTGTGTGGATCTTTCTTACAGCCTTGGCTATACAGGAGTCTTTCTGCCAGTTTCCAGTTAGTTTTCAGTGAGACTGTTCCACATGTAGACAGATAAATAGATAGATAGGATTTTTTTTCTTTTTAAAAATTTTTTATTGAAGTGTAGTTGATTTACAATGTTGTGTTAATTTCTGCTGTACAGTGATTTGGTTGTACATATTCTTTTTCATATTCTTTTCCACTTATGGTTTATCACAGGATATTGAATATAGTTCCCTGTGTTATACAGTAGGACCTTGTTGTTTATCCATCCTATGTATAATAGTTTGCGTCTACTAATCCCAGACTCCCATTCCTTCCCTACCTTGGCAACCACAACTCTATTCTCTATGTATGAGTCTGTTTCTGTTTCGTAGATATGTTCATCTGTGTCATATTTTAGATTCCACATATAAGAGGTATCATAAGGTATTTGTCTTTTTCTTTCTGACTTACTTTGCTTAGAATGATAATCTCTAGGTCCATCCATGTTGCCGCAAATGGCATTATTTCATTCTTTTTTTTATGGTTGAGTAATAGTCCATTGTTTATTTATTCCACATCTTAATCCATTCATCTGTCGATGGACATTTAGGCTGTTTCCATGTCTTGGCTATTGTGAATAGTGCTGCTGTGAACGTAGGGGTGAACATATCTTTTTGAATTATGGTCTTCTCAGGGTATATGCCCAGTAGTGGGATTGCTGGATCATATGGCAACTCTATTTTTAGTTTTTTGAGGAACCTCCATACTGTTCTCCATAGTGGCTGCACCAATTTACATTCCCACCAACAGTGTAAGAGGGTTCCCTTTTCTCCACACCCTCTCCAGCACTGGTTATTTGTAGACTTTTTGATGATGGCTGTTCTGGTGTGAGGTGGTACCTAATTGTAGTTTTGATTTGCATTTCTCCAATAATTAGCAATGATGAGCATCTTTTCACCACATGTAGATATATTTTTGATGTGTTCATGGGGAGAGGTGAGTTCCACTTCCTCCTACTCTGCCATCTGATCTCCTCTGCCTTGACATCTTACAGTGCCATTCATCCAGAAACTCTTCTTGTAACTGAGATTATCTGTTTCCATGTTTTAAAATTGATGAAGAAAAATCTCAATTTTCTTAGAATTATGACTGTTCTTAATAAATTTCGGGAGAACAAAATTGAGCTTTTTTGTCAATACAGCTGACAGCTACTCCCAGAGAACAGGTCTCATACTTTTCATGGCCGTATACAGGTAACTCTTACCAGACTATGAACTGGGGCATTGAACACATTTGAATAACAAGGAATTTACAGATATCAAATTAGGATCTTTGTAAAAATTAGTCCATTAAACCACATTTGAAATGGAGTTTCTCAAACAGTTTCATGTATCTGCATATTGGTAAGTATATTTTGTGTGACCTGCTTAGGAAACATGAGTAGGATGTGATCTCTTTGATGGTTACAGCTATCCTCATCTGAGAATTTCCATTCCGATCTGTTATAATTTATTCTAACTATTGCTACTAGAAATCTTCTGAATACCAATGACAATCTAATTTTATGCATAGAGAAGCAAATTAGCATGAATTAAAGCTTCTTTAGTTGAATGAGCATAGTTTTATATTGGCAAGTATGGTATACCTTCTTAATCCTAGAAAAGACTCCAATTTTAAGTGAACTATCTTCCAGATTGTTTATTTTCTACTTAAAGTATCATCAGTATTTCCTTAGCACAAATCAGCCATGGAATAAAAAGTTGGGACATTTTTTACACATCCAGTATCTCCCTCCCTTCTTTGAACAAACATTCCCCTTCCCAGATCTGTGGTAGGTTGCTTAGTATTTGGTGTTTTTTTTTTTTTGGGGGGGGGGGTTGTTTGTTTTTAATATTTATTTTGGCTGCGCCGGGCCTTAGTTGCTGCGTGTGGGATCTTTAGTTGAGACATGCGAACCCATAGTTGCAGCATGCATGCAGGATCTAGTTCCCCAACCAGGGATCGAACCTGGGCCCCTTGCATTGTGAGCGTGGAGTCTTACCCACTGGACCACCAGGTAAGTCCCTTCCTTATATTTGAATCTTGAGTAAAATGACACAAGGGACAGTGATGGTTAAAGCCAAGTCTTTCTGAAAGCAGCTCTCTGAAAAGGCTGTTCATTAATTCCTACAACCTAGAGCCATACAGCCTTGACTGCAGTCCTTATAAATTCTTTTTTTTTTTTTAAGGCTAGGTGGAGGAGGTTTATAGCCATTTTTTGCAACCAAAGAGCCTAGATAAAATTCCAACATACAGAAAGTAAAAAATTTAATGTTTTGGGCTTGTGTTTATGTTTCTGCATTCTCTTTTTTTTAATTTATTTATTTTATTTTTGGCTGTGTTGGGTCTTCATTGCTGTACGCGGGCTTTCTCTGGTTGCAGTGCACAGGCTTCTCATTGTGGTGGCTTCTCATTGCGGAGCACAGGCTCTAGGGACACAGGCTTCAGTAGTTGTGGCACGCAGGCTCAGCAGTTGTGGCGCATGGGCTTAGTTGCTTCACGGCATGTGGGATCTTCCCGGACCAGGGCTCAAACCCGTGTCCCCTGCATTGGCAGGCAGATTCTTAACCACTGAGCCACCAGGGAAGCCTGTTTTTGCATTATCTTAATGGCCTTATCTACAATACAAATAGTGATCAAACAGGTTTCATATAAATAAATTAAGTTTATTGCTGAATTTTCCCATAACATTATAGAAATTTTTTTAAAAATACACTGAAATTTCACAAATTATTGAGCTCAACAGTTAAACATACTTCATAAAAAAAAGTACAAAAGTGACATTAGAAATATTTTTTGAAGAAAAGTATATCATCTAAGAGCAAAGAAATGTGAATCCAGACAATGAATGGCACAAATACAGCACTTTAGAGGAGTACTCAGTCACCACCCAGAAATCATTGTCTGAGTTATGAAATAGATTCAGTTTGAGAAGTTATATATTCAGTTTGTTTCTGAACTAGCCTGTCTTGTTTTTGCCTCTCTTTTGTAAGAAAAGAGCTAGGTCTTTACTGCTGCTGGGACCAAATACTGTACATGCACTGGAGAATAAGGACGGGTCACCCTTCTCCCCTGGCACCTGCACAAGAGAACAGTTAGTACAGAAATGGCTTTGGCACTTTAACCCTTAACATAATCCCAAACCTTGTTAATTAAATATTGTAGCCTTGCATGATTTTTTTTAATACCACATCATCTCCATACTTTATATGTACACTATATATACAATAGTAAAAATCCTTCACTCTAAAACAAAACAGGTTGATTCCAAACAGGCCACATTAAATCTTTGTAGCAATACACTCACATAGCTTTCTTCTTAATGCTTATGCGACACAGTTTTTGATTGTTTTTTTTAAGCTACCTTCTGGGATTGACTTAAGGCTCTAGTTTAATGCAAATGGTTTAGTCTTAGTAGGAATCTCTTTTGAGGCTAAAATCACACACCACTGACTCTCTCTTTTGAAGTTGGTTCTCCTTGTTGGATGGATGTAGTGTCTTGTCTGGGTAATCCATAGAGATATATAGAAACACATACAAGAAGAGTACCCAGAGCAAAGCTGAGTGCTGAAAAGAAAAAAAAAAAGGAATCTGTATTTGTGTTCTTAAAACTATGTAACAATGATTAAAATTTTGAAGACTTTCAATTGTGGGTTTACACTATCAGATTACATGGAAAATAAACTTAAGTGTCCTATATGATGATGGTAAGGTTTAGAAAGGTCATCAATTCTAGCTCCACCCCCACCCCACTCACCAGAAAAAGTAGTGAAATCAAGGGAGTGACAATCACTGACTACATACTTTTCAAGAACGCAAGTATGACTGTCCTGGACCACTGACAAAGAACATAATAACATCCCTATATGCTGATTGAAAGAAAACGCAGTGGAATAAGGATTTTCCATGATAACTAGAAACCTGTGAAAGTTAAGGTTAGTAGAGTAAAAGGCAGTTGAGCAAAATTCAAAGAGGTGACCAATAATTCAAACCATTGAAGATTTCTGAATAGGAGATGAGGTGGTGATTTAATGAGTAAAATTCCATTTTCTGCTAACATCTTTTTTTTTTATCGTAATCCTGAAAATCTGGACACAACTGAATTACAACTTGCCCTAACTTGACAAATAGGCATCATATAAATAAATCCTTATGTCAAAACTAAACAATATTCTATGTGGAGTACAATGGCACAGTCTTAATAGCTTTAAAAATGTCATGCAGAGAAACAACATCAAGCTATGACTTTTAGTTCATCCCTAACTAGAAAAGACTAGCTTTGCCTTCCAAAAAGGGGAAGAGGGTAAATTAAATCTAAATAGGAAACTTAAGATTGCTAAGACATTCTAAGGACACTGACCAAAAAGCATTTATACTGTTTCCAAATATTCTTTAGGAGCACAGGCATAGGATTTGCTGAGCATAAGGATGGATCAGAACTACAAGTGAAAGTTCACACAAATCAGGTAAGAAAAACATCAGGAGGAGGGCCTAAGAAATATCTGTTACTGAAATGGTAAGTAGTTGGCTTTATACAGAATACCTACCTACTATTGTGCCAGGCACTGTTCTAAGCACTTTGCCTAAAACAACCCTACAAGACAGATGTTATTATCATTCCCATTTTACAGACAAAGAAACTGAGACATGGGTTAAGTAACTTCCCCAAGGTTTTACAACTAATAAATGGTACAAGCAAGATTTGAACCAAACTATCAAATTTTTTTCTAAGATTTCTACAAGGTTGGTATTCTTCTATTTGCATTTATAACAAGTCAATTGTAAATATAGGCCAGATCTGTTTCTTTTACTTAATGTTGATATTTGACAGATTTTTCTCATGTATTAGTTTATGGTATAACTGATCAGTAAAGAAAATTATCACACCATAAAAACACCAGGAAATATTAAGTCAATATCACTGCTTAAATAATTCAGAAGCCAACTAATGGTGGATATGGCTAGGGAAAATTATATTAGAAGGACCAGCATAAAGGCGGTCCTAGAATGCCAGCTATAGTAATGAATTTTGTATTAATTACATACTAAATGAAACAAATAGCTTTATTAAAGAGAAAATTTAGATTTGGATTGTAGTTTCAAAACCAGTTTATATCCAAGTCTAAAACAGGAAGGTACAAACTAAGGGGGAAATGAAAGAAGTTTTCTGTTCTTACCTCAGAATAAAAAGCCAAGTTTACTCTAAGTCCACTGCGGAAATTAACGAGGGAGGCTTTGTCTGCAGAAACTCTTTCTACTGAGTAGCCCGCTCACTTTCAGCTCTAGAACCATTTAAACAACCTAAGTACTGTGGACACACATTCCACACAACTATGAACTGCTGCGCCTGTAGGATAAATTGTAACAAAACTAGGAATTTCTGTAAACTCTACAAGCAACTGCCATACTTAATGAAAGATGAAATGAACCAAGGAAGTGAGAAGCTCTTCCATGTTAAAAACTTACAGTACAAACTAAGACATACTTATCTGTAATCCAAACAGCATCACTGAAGCAATGGTAGAAAGGACAATGGCTGCTGCTGCAGAAAAGCCTTTCATGATGTTGTCTGTGTACTTGACCACAACAGAAGTGTAGAGGCCTCCAACACTAGCAAGAACTCGCATACAGAAAGAAAGAAAATCTTAACACTCAAATAAATGAAACATTCTATGATGGTGAGGCAGTTTTCACCCCCAGAGATGCCATACTAATTTACCTAGGAAAATACTATTTTCCTTAGAAGCAGCCATCTGAGAGATTTTGTACTAAGAGTCATAGTTCCTACAAAACAACATTGTTTTTCAGATGCCCAAAGGGCTATGTAGTCTACTGCTAAACTGTACACATTTATTGCTAATACATTAGATACGTTTGATTGTGAAGGCAAAATTGCTTTGGGATAGCTTTGCCACAAAAGTAAGTCAATAAAACCAAAATTACATCTTCAAACTGGTATTCACAGTATCAAAGGAACAATTTCAAAATGCTATAAAGGCTTAAAATGGACATCTAACTTGAGGAAAAAGGGTGGGGGGGGAGATCTACCCAGAACCTTTAATTCCTGGATACTTACAGATGACAAGCCAGACATAATATGTGTAACCATAGAAAAATCCTTTTTCTTTAATTTCAGCTCCATCTGACCAGTAGACGCCAACTAATGTCACAACAATCCCTGATAGATACATTTGAATGTTTCTCACCCAAAGGGAAGTGTCTGAACTCTTTAAAACTTTTTCAAAATACACTCCTGAAAGAAAATTAAGCATGCAAATATGAAATAGATATCAGAAATTAATCTAAAATGTCTTTATATTATCATATTTTTGGGTTATTATTCTAAATGAAGTATATGATTTGTGGAACACACATTTTACATTAATTAAATGCAGATTTATTATGTTGGTTGTGACGCATGGCATACCGAACATTACCAATTTGTATTTTTACAGAGCATATAGAATTAATAACCAAGAGGGAGCTTTCTAAAAACCCACATTTAACAGGAGACTCTTATATTACTATTAATAGTTTCCGCCTTTATTATAGCAGTGAGATAGATCACAAAAGCTCACTTAATGCCACTAAAAGGCTTGCTTTGGTCAGCTGGAACACTATATACTATTAGAGTCAATTATCTTAAACATACCCCTATAATATCTGCCTAGTATGAATACCCCCAACTTTGCAAAATAACCTATATAATCACCACTTAGGATTTTTTCTGAGAGTTACACAACCAAAATAAAATTTAAATAGAGCTTGCTCAGTGAAGCCATTTTCCTTTAAAGCAGGGGTCTACAGACCAAGTTCACCCACAATGTCAGAAGGACTGTGAACTCCCTAACTAGATAATGTTTTGCGTCTATGTGCATTTTTCTGGGGGTGAGGATCCGACACTTTTTTAGGTGCTCCAAAAGCGCACATGTGTCCCCACCCCACCCACAAAATCACATAGCACAGCTGTAAGTTTTATACTGAAAATGAATGCATGTTTAGCAAGGACATTAAAGATTTTTGTTATAAACACTGTTAATTAGAGGCTTAGGAATTGCCACTAAAGTACTAATCAACTAAAAATTCAAATGAAAACCAAGATTGTTTTTGATGAACCTATGTTGGAAAGAGCCAGAGAATGGGAACAAACATATAATAGCTATTCCTATTTCTATTTTTGATTTTCCCATCGGAAAACCATTTAACTATTGGGAAACCATTTAACTATTCAGTTCTCAGTTACTCCAAGCATAGAGGGATATTAAACCACGTACCATTTCCTCAACTGTGTATTGAGAATACACACCTTATGGTAAATAGACTGTTGGACACAAACATTTTACTGTTCAAAACAGTGCTAAAAATCAAGTAGTATATTACTTGGGGGGTAACCCAATTTTTGTTTCTAATTTGTTGTTTCCTAAGAATAGAAGTTTAGCATGATGCTATCATTAAGTATATTCCTAAATTTAGATTTTCCCCTCTTATCAAATGACTAGATACAGAGGTGAAAAATACTTCCTTAGTCAAAAATAGAGTACTAATTTTTTTTTTTTTTTTTTGCGGTACGCGGGCCTCTCACTGTTGTGGTCTCTCCCGTTGCAGAGCACAGGCTCCGGACGCGCAGGCTCAGCGGCCATGGCTCACGGGCCCAGCCGCTCCACGGAATGTGGGATCTTCCCAGACCGGGGCACGAACCCGTGTCCCCTGCATCAGCAGGCGGACTCTCAACCACTGCGCCACCAGGGAAGCCCAGTACTAACTCTTGATATAGCAAAATAAAGATAAATAATAAAGATGTATGGCTATAACTAATATACTCTTTACTTTCAGTTTCTTCTCTGTTGGAACCATTTCTAAAACATTTCTTACATTGCACTTAACATTCATACTTTCTCTTCTTGATTCAGTGAAGGATAGCCTGTCCCTACATATATGAGTCCAGACTTCCACATTGATTTGATGTTAGTGATTTTGATTCTTCCCTCCCCTTCTGGCTGTTACTTCTGGGTATTAGGTTTTCTTAGTGATCACCCCCCTTTCCTCCCTACTCCATAATTCCTAATCTGTTGAAGCAGAGGAAGAACTTGAGTTACCAGGGAAATACAGATACTGAGCTAGTAACTAACAACCTAAAGCAGCAGAATCGAACCTGAGGATAGTGCCAGTGCCAGGAAAATAGAAAGAGGTACTTGAGCTTTCTGATGGCTAACTTCCTCCATTTTTTAATTTATTTGGGGGATCTTGGCTGGACCGGGGATATTCAAGGATGACAGAAATACATTCTTAGATAACTGCAAAGATGAATAAGGACTGAGGTCTAAACTGTGTTAAACATTACCACATGCTTACTGGAAAAACAGCTGACATAAAACTATGTAGCTATTAAGTAAGAAGATAAGCTTTAATAGGAATAAAGTTGAGTTTGATAAAGCAAGATAAAGTCAATCCCTATTTAAAGTCTGATGTTTTTTTAAAAATTTGACAACAGAATAAAATGCTTTTATGACTTACCTGCAAATCCTGAGCACAATACAGCAACAGCTATAGCACCAAACCCTAATAATGGATTTTGTTCCACCTGCAACAGTAATGTTTTAGAAGTCATTTTTAGTGACTAGTAAATAGAATTCATCCAAGAGAACAAACAAATGAATACAAAAATCTGTTTATAGTTCTGCTGAAAGTACGTGCCATATCAGACATGGCTATTCTATAGAATAAGACAGGACCAAACAAAAGGCCATCCCAGAGATAAACCAAAGTACTTAAGTTAAAAACCTATCCCTCAAATTATAGCCAGAGTAAACGCTTGATATAACGTGTGCCTACTTCCTAATAACAATGGGCACCCAAGCACAGAACTGTGCAGTCAGCCCGCCTCTTCATTTTAACTTCTGCCACCACAACTCAAGCTCTTATAGGATCAAGCATGGAAATGGTAGCAGTTTGACTTGTTTAATTTATTCCCTATCACCTACAGGATGGAGTAATGACATGTAAGATTTCCTACTTCACTGAATTTTTATCAAATATTAATAGCATGCCATCTGTGTACCAGATATACTGTTTTATATTCTACATGAATGAAGATGAAGATGATACACAGCTTTGATTCTTAAATAGTTCATGGATGGGAGAGATTGACACATATATATAATCATAATACTTTGCTAACAGATGCAGGTATATGGGCCCCCAACCTATTGTTTCAACTGTATTTCCTCTTCCCTAAACTAACCCTCAGGAGCTTTCATCAGTCTTTCCTCAGAGATAAATGTTATCTCAGTGGCAACACTGAAACTAAAGGGTTGAGACACGTGTCTGTAATATGACAAGCACATACCTTGTTCAAAATAAATAAGCCTGACAGTATTAGGACAGTATTACTTGATGTTAAGTACCTGAGAGAGAGAGCTTGCTCTAAAATGTCTGCATGAAGATAAAAGGAGAAATAGAAGATATTATGGACTAACGGTTCTCCAAGTATGGTCCCTGGCAGCATCATCACCTGGGAACTTGTTAGAGATGAAAATTGACAGGCCCCTCCCCAGACCTACTGAATCATAAACTATGGGGATGGGGCCCAGAAATCTGTTTAACCTTCCCGTTGAGTCTGATGTACACTAAAGTTTGAGAACCACTACTATAGACTACAACTGATAAACATGGATGATTTCCTAATACAATCTACAAGGCCAGCATAGAGAGGAGAAAAAATAACGGTGTGAGATTTCATCTATCCCAACAACTGCTTGGAAGCTCAAGCTACTAAAGATAGTGTCTGACAAATTCCTGGTTGCTTTTCTGCCAGTTTAATCTCTACAGTTAGGAAAAATGGTGATAGACACTGCTTCTCTGGACTTAATTCTGACTGATAAGAAACTGCTGGGTGGGACTTCCCTGGTGGCGCAGTGGTTAAGAATCCGCCTGCCAATGCAGGGGACACAGGTTCGATCCCTGGTCCAGGAAGATCCCACATGCCGCGGAGCAACTAAGCCCGTGCACCACAACTACTGGAGCCCACACGCCTAGGGCCCGTGCTCCACAACAAGAGAAGCCACCGCAATGAGAAGCCCGCACATTGCAAGGAACAGTAGACCCCGCTTGCCGCAACTTAAGAGAAAGCCCACGCACAGCAAAGACCCAATGCAGCCAAAAGAAGAAAGAAACTGCTGGGTGATGAAGTGGAAGTGATGGAAACCTAGGAAAATGGCAACCATGTCGTTTTAGCATGATCAATAGCCAAACAGCATAGTTCAGAGACTTGAGCTCCAGTCCTGAATAAATCAAATTCAAAAAACTAAAACAATTCCATAGTTAGTGGGAAGATGGGTTAATAGGGTAAGAGTTTGTTAAGAATGAGATTCTAATGAACAGTAAAGAAAGAAATCAGTGTTACTAATTAAGGGCATCTTCAATGAATTCTCATAGGAACAATAAAAAAAAAAAAAAAACTACAGTACACAAAACCAAGAGGAACGGACCAGGAGTTTTAGTATCAAAAAACTGAAAACAGTGTAAATGGAGGCTTGCAAAATTTAAAGAAAGCCTTTAAAAGTATGTTTAGTTTAGGAAGAAAAGAGTATGCTTCTTCGGCTAGATGACATGCTGTTAGAGCAAGAAAATAAGAGTTACCCAAACCTAGTTTCCATTTTCTCTGTGAATAATGAGTTTGAATGAATGGGAACCGAAGTCCAATACATTGGTTTGCTGTTTTGAGAACACCTACCTAAATAAATTCAGAAGTATCTTGACCAAGAATAGTAGCAAATCAAGGTACTGATCACTGTTATCTCTGAAGAATAATAGGGCATAGAAGCTATGCCAGAAAATTTGCATTGGGCAAATACTGTCCTGATTTTCAAAAAGGCAGAGGGAAAGAAAAGCTGCAGAAATTATAAACAGCGGCTTGAGACCTGTAAGGCAGCCCAGTACACTCACCAAGAGCACAGGCTCTGGAGCCATGCTGCCTGGATCCAAGCAAGGTTGAGCCATTGCTAGCCTTCTTTGCCTATCAGTTTCCTCATAAGAAAATGGAAATAAAAATACATGCCTCGTATGGTGGCTGTGAGCATAAGTGAATTAATGTACATAAAGCGCTTAGAACACTGCTAGTATCCAGTGTGACACGTGACTGCAGCTGTTGTTATTACTGAATACCAGCGAAATGCTACAACAGGTGACTTGGAGAACTTTTGAAGAAACCATCAAGAGTGTAATGGTCATCACAAGAAAATGGTGTGGCTTCCATAAGAATACGACTTACCGAATTTTCTTACTGAAAGAATTCCTAGTGTAAGTGCTGAGGGGAATTCCATAGAGATAATGTTTAGCAAGAAATCTGACAGATTTGCATAGTATTTTTGTGAACAAGACAGAGAAATGTAGTGAGGATAACAGCAGTTCTATTCACAGCTGAGTGAGCGCTCATATAGCAAAGTGCTAATTAACAGAATAAAACCAAGCTAGACCAACAACCAATATCAACTAGCCAGGCATATGAATAAGCCATCCTAGAAACAGATCCTCCAGGCCTAGGCAAGTCTTCAGTTGACTGCAGCCCTAGCTGATATCTTGACTGCAACCTTATGAGAGACCTCAAGCCAGAATGTCTAAAAGAGGCCAGCTCAGGCACCCTCTAATTCCTGACCCATAAAAACTGTGAGAGAGAATGTTTCTTAAGCAAGGAAAAAGAAAAAAAAAAGTCAAGCTAAAGAGAGTCTAGAGGTATAGCCACAGAACTCTGGTCCTGTCCTGTCTAAAATTTTCAGAGAAGACCCAGAAGACATAGGTGTCAAATCTGTAGAAAGCAAAACATTCAAAGAAAAAGCTAATAATGGATAAGGACTGGAAAGTCCTCAAAGGCTGGAACAATAACCCAAAGCTAACAAGATGGGCTTAATAAATATAAACACATTTTGCATTTAGAAGCCCGCGGCACAAAACACATCTGAGACAAACTGTATTCGTGTGAAACAGCTACATGTGGTTGTATAATCAGTTATATAATGGATAGCCTCCTCCAGCCAAAAAAAACCTAATATAACCTTATGCTGATTTAACAAGTCTCTGGTATTCAGAATAAAGGAGGCAATTAGCGAACTACACCTCACACCACTCAGTCATTATCTGGAGACAGCGTGAACTTTTAGGACACACTGAGGAAAAAGAACGGATAAATGCACCTAGAAAAGAAATACGAGGCAATACTGGGGCACGAGCCAGGGATCATAAAGTCTCCAGAAGCCATATTATAGAAAGAAACAACAAGGTTGTCTCAGTGGGAGAGAAGAAAAGACAGGGAGGGTGGAGATGCAACATTGTTCTCAAACATTCAAAGGCTCATCCTATGGAGTTAGCAGGGATTTGAGTTACTCAGACAAGAACAAGGAACAATGAGAGGCAGTTACAGGAAGCTACATTCCTACATGTTTAAAATATGAAAGAACTTTCTAGAGTGCTCCAAAAGTAAAATACTCTGCTTACTAAGCTTACTAAACTTTTCACACATATTACCTAGGTGAGGTGACCCTTTTCTAAAGGTGTAGGGTGTTACTGGAAGTTCATATTTGACTTTTAAGTGTTTGCCTTACTTCCCAAACAAATTCTTTACAGCTCTACATCTGAGTTATACGTGCAGTGCATACTTGATCAGTGTTTTGAAATGTCACCGAGAATATGAGCACGTTTAAACATCATGTAAAGACAATACATATTAATTTAAAACTCACTTTCTGAGGGAAAAAACTCTTCCACCAGGCCAGAAAGTAACTACCTAAAAAGGAGCTTTCTACTTTCACAAGCTCTGCATACATCCCCAGCTGCCTTATACTCCTAAGAGCACCATGGTCTTTCATCTGCTAAGAGTTAAAGAAGAGTGTGCAGTTGCAGAGGGAAGCTCCCGACCTTCAGGTCCTTTACTGTAGTTCCACTTCCTACTTCTCTTTGGGAAAATAACAAATTAAAGCATACAATATATTAAAAAAAAAAAATCAGGTATGTACCGTAACATTTAACTCTTCAACTAAAAGTTAGAAGTAAAGGCACTTTTTGCCCTATTGTAGTTACCAGTTATTGGGAAAAACACTATTCTGTAAGACCCACTGCTGACAGTGGATGTATGTGCAAAATGATAAAAAATTTTGTGAGTTGTGGGAGAACATGAAAATTAGATGGGGAAAACTCTGCCCAGTATTTCTGAGAAAATGTCTAAAAGAGGCCTAGAAGTTTTGAACACAGACACTGTGTGGAAGTTGGCACAACTGAGTTACAGGTTAGCTGTTAACTGTGCAACTCTGGGTACGTGACTTCACCTCTTTGGACTTCAATTCTGTTATCCATAAAACGAAGGAGTTGCATTATATGGAGTTTTGAGATACCATCCATCTCTAACATAGTTTATGCATATTCTTCCTTCTCAAAAAGGAAGCCCAAAGGTATTACTCTCCTTGACAATAACATCACCCTAAGGGGAAAAAGGCGTATCTATATGGCAGAGGCTATGAATCATGCTCCATTCTTTTCTGTGTGACTGTGTGGAGTGCTCAGGACTCTGGAAAGTTCCCGTTTAGCTACAGTGAGCACTTAGCTTCTTACCACGACGCCTGTGGCCTGGGCTGGTCTCCACTGTACGAGGACGACTCCTCCACACAGCATAAAAACTGAAATCCACTGTAACCTGCTGAGCGTCCTGTTTAACATTAGAACAGTACATAGAGCAGTACAAGGAATCTTCAGCTGGTACGTCACCTACCAACAAACAATGAACTCATCAGCTCGGTTAACATTAGACTCTGACACAAATGTATTATTTCTGATATGAACACAGCTGTAGAGGAAAATATTCAATAGTTTGATAGAGGGTTAGTAAAACATCTTTTCACCGTGAAAACATTTTTTAAGATTTTGCGCCTGCCATTATCATCTACTTCACCTACCTGGTATACTGCTGCATCCAGATTGCTGAGAGCCAGGAAAGCCATGTTGTTCTGCACAGCATACACTAAGGAAGGCACGCACAACTTCATCAGTTCCTTGGGGCTCCCCAAGACATTTTCTCTTAAAGATGCCTTGAATCTACCCAGATTACCAGTTTCTCTTTGAAAACAAAAAGGGGAAATGAGAAGGGATGAAGAAGAAAATGAAAGATCATCCTCTCTATTAGATACTGTCACACATAGGATAGCTACATTGTGTTACGTTCACTGATACTTATTTCTAGAATTTTTAACTGACTTTAGATTCATTAAAAGAAGCAAACCAGCAATGCATCCCCATAAAAGAAAAACAACTACAATCTTCATTTGGGAAAATATGACAATTAGGTTTACCACCCTCATCCTCTGGTCAAAGTTTCAGGGGCTTTTGAGTATATTAAACAATGAGAGTACCAGGAAACCAGAATTGCCGATATTACCTATAAAAAATTAATTTAATCCCTGCCACTTTAACTGCCATTGCATCAAGTTCACCCAGATTATTTTTTAGATTAATCAGGTTGCATATGTATTTTTTAATTTTTAAAATTACAATAGATTTTAATTGCAAACAAAAGAAAAAAGCGTTAGTAGTTATAGAAGTTACTTGGGATAGGAACCGAGTAATGCAGGTCAATATTATTTGTAAATTAATTCCGTGTTTGTGCAATATGGCAGACAATAAATCTTTAAATAAGCATATTCTCATAAAATTCAAGTATGTATCTGTATAATTTTGCAGGAAATCTGAATAATTTACTAATATCAGTAAGGTAAACTGTACCTGGAACATACATAAAACTTACTACTTGAGTGCATATTGATTGATGCATGCTCTTAAGTATTCTTATTGTTCCTCAGGAGGAACTAGCTAATCTGGCTCATATTTCCCCCTGTTGTAAATCAGCTCATTTATTTCCTGAAAATACAAATCAAAGAACACTTTTATAAGCATTAACACCAAAAAAAAGTGCTACATCAAAAGGCTCCTAACTGCCCCTCACAAGATCCTTAAAAGGACCATAATACTTTGTTGGGAAGATGGAGCTATTTCAACTCACAATGAGCCTCTATATTTTGGGTTAACATTAGAATCAACAGTCACTAATTGGATATTTTCATATTTAAATAGTGCAAAATTAATTACCCAAGTTCTGAGAAGGAGCAAAGAGTCCATAATGTCTAATTAACTACCCATGCCTTATCCACTGTAGAACACTCCAGCCCCCAAGAAAATAATTAAGACAGGAAATTTGGCCTAGGCCACAGAAACAAAAGAAGCCCTTCTTAGTTACAGACCGTACTTTGCTGCCAAAGCTACATGCTGAAAAGTAATGCACACAGCCTGGAGGGCGACTCTACACTCCATGCAGAAGAGGGAGAGAATACCAGAAGATTACTGGGAAAGTCTGCATTGTAGAGTTTTCCAGATAGCTGAAGGTTGGCCCTTTAAACATTTACCATTCTTTTTTTTAACACAAATCTAAGATGTTCTATATAATTCTCCACCTCTTAAAAGAGTATAAAGAATAATTTCTCAAAGTTTTCCCTCAATTATAAAATTGAAGAGAAAAAAGATTAAAATTAAAAAGAAGAATCACAGAGGTCCAACTCAAAGAACCATTTTAACAAGGTGATATAATTGAACATTTTCTTTATTGTCATAATTCTCACTAGGAAACATGATGGCAGAGACATAAATCTTACAGGCTGTGTGAAGTACAGGACACTGCTTTTACTGTATCATTACTTAATGCCCTTCCAAAATGCTGACTTCTATACTAATGTATCTTCAGAGTGGCTCCCTAAAGAACTACTGAGAGGTACCTGTTTGTACCCATCTTTCACAGTCCACCTCCTTCCATGTCCATTTATCTCCCACATACGATTCCTCAAGCTCTAGTTTAGTAGCCACTTATCCCTTCCCTAATCCCTAGCTATGGACAATGCCATCTTACCTCCACTCCTTAGAGATACTCTAAACCCTCAATGGTATCAAATGAATTTCTGCCTATCCAGAGAACAGAGTTGATCTCTTTATCACTGGCTCTCTTTGCTCTGCTAGAATACAGGCTGCTTAAGGATCTAACAGCTTCTTCTATTAACCATGGCTGTACCAATAATCAAGGCTGCTGAGGTCCCTTTTCTCCCTGTCACTTTTATCTCTTCTCCCACACTTTTCAGCTTTCACATCAAATGAAGGGCCTGTGAGACATCACCAGCCAATCTGAGTACTCCTTTCCTTCAACACGAAAAACAAGTAGAGTATGGTGTGTCCAGATTAACCTTCAGGTCTTTGGCTCTTCTGGCTATATCCTTTTTATTGGATACTTAGGAACTATTACTTCTCCACTGCCAGGAAGACTTTACTATCTTTTTCTGCTTCCTTCTCTAATGTAGATATTAGAGAAGCCAAGGTATACCAGAATGCTAACTACTGGAAAGCTCAAGCTTCACCATGGTACCTTAGAATTATATCAATATTATATAACAAGATATTTTGAAATAAGTTGCAAAAAATAGCAGAGAATGCTAAAAGAAATTGTAAAAGAAAACAAAAGCTCAAAATAATTAATGATATTAGAAAGTAAAAGAAAGAGATTTAGGAGGTATAAGAAAGAATATAGGGGAATGTTACCACACAGAAAGTTTTAAAGGAGGAGATAAATTATTTCGGTATTAGATTAAATCTTGCTTAATTTAATATATTTAATAAGAATACAGCTCTAAAACTTAGTTTTACTCACTAAAGTTAAAAAAAGTAATAGCAATATATCTTCCAGAAAACACTAGTAATCATCTATCCTTTTGTTTTACTGTTAAGTAGACAAAGATAAATGATCAATTCTAAATATACTACAGCCTTGAATAGTGTTCTCTGAATACTAAAAAAACATAAAAACCAAAGACCACTTTTTCTTCCATTTTCCTGCTCTGATATTTTCTGGAAATCAAATCCCAAGCACTTTAATGAGTACCTTTTGTTAAAAACAAATTTATTGAATTTAATTATATAAATGACATTGTGAGATAAGAGAAAACGTGTGTATAATCAAAAAGCATACACTAATTTTTTTAGATATAGTCTGTCCCATTAAATTTACTCTTTGATTTTTATCACTGGAATAGAATCCATGTGCAACCTGTTGTTACCTCAAGGAATGCTGAAGCTCCACGTTGATTGCAGAGAGATTCCGCTGCTGCAACCCCCCCAAATTTCCTATCAACCAGCTGAAACCAATTCTTTCTGATCTATGTTTGGTCAAAAGTAGGCCTCATTCTTCCAGCTCCTGATCTGAGGAGAACTACTAGGAGGCCTGAAATCCTTGGCTAGGTTACCAAGGCACTGTGCAAAATGGAATAATACAGCAGAAGTTACTCATGAGTTTAAGAAATCTAAATTTCCCTTACAAATTTCTTATCATCTGCAAAGTTAATTAAACTTAACTCGCATAAAAGATTTTGGGAAGCTAGGTTTAAAAACCAATAATGAGGTCATTTGAGGACAAAAATACCCATCATATGAGGTACATGACTTTTACTTCCTCCCCATGACCCTAAACCCCTTATACCATTGAGTACAAAGAGGCAGTCAAAATGTAAACGCAGCAAGAAAAACAAAATAGGGCTGGATAATCTATGACATAGGTATCTGAAAGCTTCATTCATTATTCTAGATAATACTATGAAACAGTAAAATAATTTTCTCCAGTCTTATCTGGATAAGTAGTACAAAGATTTAAGATGCATTTGGTTTATTACGAAACACACCCAAAGTGTATGTACATTTACACCTCCTTCTAGGTTTCTTTAGTCTTTACAGGCTGTGGTGGATAGCAAACAATAAAAAGTTGACTTTGTTCTAAGACAACAGTGTTTTCATTTCCTTTTCACATCACAAATGACAGACTTAAATCAAAAGTATCAATTTTAATAGCTATGACAGGGTTTAGTAAAGCATACAGCTAACTAGCAATTTTCCTGTGAATTGTTATAGTAATTATTTTATGAAAAACTAAAATATTTTTAAATGTACTGTTTGATGTTTCAACTGGAATTATAACTTAGAAATTGGTAACTTAGTCAAATACTTAAAAAATAACTTACCCACATATAAAGCTTTTGCAACATCCAACTGCTAAGCTGCTCCCCTCCCCAAAAATAGGATTTATTAATTTCCTTTTCGATATAAAAGTGGTCTGATGAAATTATACATGTACACAGCAGTGTATATAAAAAGATAATTATTACATATTTGTTTTGTAGTAGCAGAAGACTGGACACACCCAAATGCCCATCAGTAGAAACTGGTGTATGTGATACATCCATATAGTGGAATACCACACAGCTCTTAAAAAGAGTGAGACAGATTTCTATGTACAGACATGGAACCATCTCTAAGATAAAACATTTAAGTGAAAAAAAAGTTAAAAAGCAAAGCAGTGTAAACTGTATGCACACACAATGCATGTAATCAAACTCCCCAATCAGACTGTATAAACCTTAAACCTTATTTATCAAAATAAAGTAGCCATTCATTAATTCTTCCCCACACTCCCCTTTTGTTCCTTGCAGTTCTAAATTAACTTTTGATTGAAACAAGTATAATTTCATATTCCAAAGATTACTAGAAATTGTAAGTAAAATCAACAAGGATGGCGGAAAACTCCAAATTAATTACAAACAGAAACCAAAAAAAGAAAAAACAACCCTGTCAGTTTTTTTAATGAATACCAAAATTACACGGAAGGAGAAAAAGAGAACTAACCCAAGTATTCTAAAACACAGTCTTTTTACTATATGCTCTAAAACTAAAGGCAAAAAAAAAAACTACATACAAATACTGAACTTTAGTTAGTAGGTTTGCTTTTTCACAGCTGTATCTTAGAAGTTCTGAGTCTACTTATTATGTATTCTAGGACTGAGCAAACAAGTAAATATCTTGAGGATAATGGAAGTCAAACTCACCACCACTGGAAAAGGGAAAAGTTGCAATGAACTCTGTGGTACTGGATCAGAATTGCAGGTATCAAACAATGTATTACTCATAGTTGTATACACAAACACATATATATACAGAAACAGAGAAACAGACAGGTATGTATGTATACACATGTTACC